AAGCTCAGCAAATGTGAAGTCAGCTGATGGAGCAGTTCTTGAAATTGCCTGATGGACATTCTTGAAGAATTGTTGGAGTTTCTCGAGCTACAATTGAAGCTCATGGATTGTTGTGTGGAGCTCCCCCGTCTCCTGTTGTAAGGTCACTATTGGATGTACCCAGACATTTCGATTATTCTATTTCTTTTGGTTATTTAATAGGCTTATAACCATGACCAGGTCATCAGCACTTGAGGATGTAGTCTCCATTGTTTCTCCTTCTTCTGTCTCCCCAGTTTCATATTTTTATGTGAATATGTGAATTTCATTTGCATCACACCAGGTGTGTATAGGAAAAGGCGTGAGCCAAATTTTTGGATTTTTGCGTTGCTTTTTTGCAGCTTTTCTGCACCGCTTCGCTAATTTGCCGGTGTGTAACGACCTTGATAGAACATCTAAAAAAAGGTTGCCAAAATTAGCACAAAAGACAAGCAGAGGGACAGATAAGACAAGCAAGTATTGGCCTACAGCAGCAATACCAGAAATGACTGTGAGTTTATGTGTACTATTAGCAATAGTTGCAGTATAATACTTCTTGTGTGCACCGTGTAATCTAGTGTGCGGATCATCAGCAGTGACCTTTCAATTACAGACCAGTCTGTCCACTTTCCGCTTCTCAGACATAGGACAGAGAGAGAGAAATGTTGAGAAGGGGTAGCAGGGATAAACCAGGATATGAGGAAAAGAAAGGTTAATGTAAGGGTAAGAGAGAGAGAGAAGAGGGAGTGACTGCAGGAACCAGACAGAGTGATTGCCTATTGACTTGATGAGAGAGCGGATGCATCATTATATAATTGTAAATCCCACAAAGATGGGGTGTAATAGGGCTGTCTCCCCTCCTACTGATGCTTTGGTAATTTATCCCTCTCTCTTTCCATCCCTCCCTATCTCTCTCCTTCACCCTGTCACCCATCAATCTTTTTCCAATTACCTGCTCTGTCTATCCACAAATCCATCATAATCATTTCCATGGTAACAGGTTGCATCCTCCATTGGCTTTGGCCTATTGTTCGATATAATTGCACACCAAAAAGCAGTCTTTAGAAGAGAAGAAGGGAAACACAGAGACACTGGTCTGGAGATTGTTTCTGTTCTCCAGAGTTCACTTCAGAGGAGATATTCTGCTTTATTTCAACCACAGCATCCATTTATCAGACACTTTATGAGCTATTATGTGTGAATGGACCTTATTCCAGACTGGTGAAACATCAGCTCCATCTGTTTAATTGTCAGTAATGGCAAAAATGGGAATGAAAACTACCCATAGAAGATAAGTTAAATACAAAACTGAAAGGTAGTAAGGATCAAATGGGAACCAAAGCCCTAAAAAATCTATTACATGGTTTATTTTATTTGCTCAGACACAAGAGTAAGGTGATAAAAATGCTTTTCCCCCCCTTCAAATTACCAAAACTGTCTATCTAATTCAGACTCTTAACAAACTTTGAGGTAGCCTAATATGATTGGCTTGAAGGCATGTGCACCAAAATTTTCTTTGTCTATCCAAGTCGTCACTTTTTTTGTAGAAATGATTTTGCACTACCCAAGAAGTAAAAAGTATGGATGTCCTGATTAGCATTTTGGATGTTAGTCCCATTTTGATGTTTGATAGTATGTATCTGCCAGTATGGAGTACTACATTTATAAGTCAGTCGTTCTTATTTTATTTTTTAAGTTTGTGAAGTACAATGTCTCTCCACTCCTAAAAAAGGAAAAAAAAACTGTCCCTCAAAAATGAGCCATTGTAAAACTGTCATTTGAACGACTTGTTCACTGCTTTTGTTGATAAGAGTCTATAACAGTCATGAGTAGTGTGACACAGAATGTAGTTCACATGCACATTCATGTGTGGCACTCAGTGTTGTTCTGGCTTAAAGTTCAGTTCACACCAATTGAAATGAACTAGTTCATGTTCATAGTTAGTTTTGGAAAAAATTGAACTTAGCTCATGATTCTCTTTTTCAGTAGAGCCATCTATGCTTTAATCCGGTCTCACATGCACTGCTAACTGCATTGTTTGTACTGTCAGCAGGATTAGCCATGCTGAATGCATGAAGAGTGCCGTAGATCTGACTTCTGTTGCAGTAAAACTCAGAGTTCTGTGAGCGGTCATGAGTTAGAAACTGAGCAGTTCAGTTCATTGTTCATGAAAGTATGAGTGCGCTCAATTAATGCATTTATTTTTACTCATTTACGCACATTTGTGGCACTAGCCACTTATACAAGCAACTTCAACCCTTTGAAACACTCACTTCATTACAATGGACCTTCCAGTGGTGGCATTAGGATGGCAGCACTTCCAGACCCACATACTTTGGAAAATAAATATGAGCTGTCTGACGGGTCTGGCAATGCCAGGCTAGCATAACACATGAATTCAGTTATAACCTATGGCTATGAACTGAATATGACCAAATTAAATCAAAAGTGTATACAGCTGTTTTTTCTCCAAGAACTCCTCTTTGTCTAAACAGAAACGAGGATATAAACAGCCAGAAAGTGTTTGGCTTGTTAAAGCACAAACCCAAATTTAATACACACACCTTTAATGTCCCTCTCCAAAGCAGTTTGTGAGTCTAACCTTGTTTTTATCAGTTGATTGCACCAATGGCAGCACACGCAAGATACGAAATACACAACCTTCACAGGTACACTCTAGGATTTTAACTCAACGCATTTGAGTTCAAATCCTCCAAATGTCCTTTATTTTCTGCAGAAGAAAACAATAATGCTTCAGAGCTATCCCCTTTAAAGTAGGTGTAACTTTAATGAAGTATTGGAGTAATATTTCAATTGCAGTGTTAACATGACTTTTTCTTTGCTTCATAGTTCTGTGGTAATCAAAAAATATCAAGATAAATAGCTGTACTGTATGCATGCACATTATGTGCTTACCTTTGTTGGTCAATAAAAAATGATTTTTATTATTAATTTGTTTGTCTTTTACACTCAGCAAAAGCCTCCAGTCAACAAGCAGTAGGCTCCATTATTTCAGTCTTATCTGCCCAGTTAAGTTGGCTCCATTTTCCGTGTGTCTTGCTGTGGGAAACAGCCACTCAGCTGTGTGCTGTGCCCTTTAAATGAATGTGTATTCACCAGCCTGGGGTAATTGATATGTATAGCACACATAATGGTGTGAATTCAATTTGCAAAACACTAACTTTGTTATTCATGTGGTGGAGTTGGGGTCGTTATCTACTTCAATGTAATATGCGCACATGTCAAGGACTCAACAGTCATGTCATAGAGAAAACAAAGTGATAAAAGATGACTGGTGTGAGTAGATACAACTACAACAGTGTTTTTTTAAGAAATCGAAAAACCTCAACAAGAGGGTATCTTTGTTATGGTTCTACATTTTTATTGTACTGAATGCCTGTGATGAAATATTTATTGTTTGATAACCATTACCTAATTTAATCATGATGTGTTTCTTATGTTCACCTTGTTTTTGCATCATGCACTCATAATTTTGACTAGTTCCCATTAATAATAAAGCATATTTGGGTATGAGGGAGCAGAAGTAGGAACTGTAGCTGGCATGCCATGCTGAGCTGAGACTACTGTTTTGTTGTTGTTGTCGTGTTGGTTAGTGATGTGTAACATCCTCCACATCCAATCAATCTACAGACCCCCTCCTCTCTCTCTCTCTCTCTCTCTCTCTCTCTCTCTCTGCCTGCTTCTGTAAATCAAGTCACAAAGAAGAAGGCATTAGTGACAGGAAATTACAAGATGTTGCTTTTACAATAAAAGACTTATCTTCCCTGAAAGAAATTTTGAAAAATGTTGCCTGATGCACAAAACTGTGTATTATGAGACATCTTGTATGCATAAGGTCTGTTTTTTCAAGATATGTTGAGTTAAAATAGAGCAAACAGTTGATGTCTTATAACCAATCCTCTAATAAAGAATAAAGGGTGGCTTTGAGCTTTTTTTCAAACTCGTTTTTACCAAAAACAAAATCCACCACCAATAAGGCATTATTGTGGCATTATGGAGCTAGTGGCATCATAAATGTAATCTCAGCAGGTGTGTGGATGAATGCAAGTCTGTATTCAACTACTTCATCTGAAGAGCAACATTATTTTTAAATCATATTATGCAGAATAAAAGTCATCATGTTGGGAAGCAATAATGTATGATGATAAAGTTGTAAATTTTTGAAAATAAGTCATAATGAAACACAGAAAAAAAGGGAGTTAGGTCGCAAAAATACAGTGGCTTACCAGCCTCGGTCAGCAGTAAGCACATACTTTGTCCACCAAAACAGTGACTACTGTCTCTGAGTCAGTGTGGTTGTCTCCTCAGCAGATTCTCAGCTTTTTACAGTCTCTCCAAAGTTATTATACTTGTAACAGTGGGGTGTTACTGTAGGAAACTATGATGTTTTTCTTATTTTTTATTCATCTAGTTGCTCCTCCTTTATCCTCCAAGATGAGGTTATTAGATGACCAAAGTTACAACCTTTTTGTAATTATATTTATAACATCATGACTTTATTGTGGAAACATAAGAACTTTAATCATGTGATAACTTGACTGATATTTTTGTAATGCTACAACTTCTTACAGGCTGATAGGTTGTACTGTTGACTAATAATCATCTACAACCTCAATCATCTACTGTGACGACTTTTTTTTCCTCTTGATATATCAAATTTATTCTTTTACTATGACTCTTTTCTAAAATCGATATAATTCATTCCATTTAAGTGTGGTCCTCGCTCCCCGTCAGCAAAAAAAGGAAAATAAAAAACAAGTCCTCTGATATTAAAATTCATTTTGTGTTTAGCGACTTTTATTTTGAAATGCTTGAGAGGAAGCTCCGTTTATCTTCACAGTGGCTGCTCATTGTGCGTTACTTTGTATGTGTGTGCACAGGAGAGTAGTGAGTGTGTGTGTTTGTGTGTATGTGAATGTGTGTGTAGCCGGCTTCCTGCCGCTGCTCTGTGTCCGCACACCGTCCGTCTCGTCAGTGTTGATCGGCTCGCCATGGCGGAAGGACGCAGAGAACAGCCCCATCCTCTCCTCTCCTTACCTCCGGCCAGCAAGCGTCCCTGCCTGCGCCCTGCTCCCCGCGGTCCCGGTCCGGGGCCCGGCCATGGCAGCGGCTTGCCCAGCTCCCGGTATCGTTCTCCGGAGTCTCTCCTGGACTGCGCCGCTAAGGCAGTAGCAGAAAAGTGGGCCTTCGAGAGAGTGGAGGAGCGCTTCGAGCGGATCCCGGAGCCCGTCCAGCGCCGCATCGTCTACTGGTCTTTTCCTCGTAACGAAAAGGAGATATGCATGTACTCGTCTTTTCAGTGCCGAGTCGCCGGCGAGGAGGGTCCGTCGGCGGCTACCGGCGGGGCTGGGGGTGCGGGGTCCGGAGCTACAACCGCCGGTGGTGGCGGGGGATCTACCGCCGGTACGGCGGCTGCCGTCGGGGCAGCCGGAGCTGTGGGGACGGGAGACGGACTGCCTTTCCGCCGGGGTATCAGGCTGCTAGAGACTGGCTGTGTGGAAAACGTATTACAAGTCGGTAAGTGGGACAATTTAGAGTAAAAATGCGTTTTTTTCTTCCCGTGGACTGCTTCCAAATGTGTGCCGCTGCTGCTGGATCTGTACGGGGATGATTGATGGAAGTTTTCCCTGCTGTCGTGGAAAGTAGTCAGAGCCTTTAATTCTCTTCTGGCGAACAACACATGGCTCTCGGTGTGTTTTTTTGCTCGAGGTTCTGTGCAGAGAAGCATTTATTGTAATCTTTGCAGCTTCTACTTGTCTGTTTTTGAAAGGGGAAGCGAAGGTAATGTTTGTGTAGCCGACCAGCTGCTGTTGAAAAATTAAAGGGCTTCTTCCTATTGTAGCTCTGCTCTGCCGCTTCTGTGTCTCTACCTTTAAACCGGAGGCTTGTTGAGCGTTGTAAGGAGGTTTTCTAACACGAAAAGCGGTGTTTTTGCAACTATCGGGCACTTTTTTCCCTCTCTGGAGCTCCCCGTCGATGATCGGGGCTTTGCTGGAGCCGTCACCCCGGGTGAGAAGCAGGGGGAGGCGGGGAGGAGGAGGGCTGAAAGACGCGGATACAAAAGGACCCAGCGTTTGAAGCGTCAAGGGTTTCATTTTTATTTGTGTGCGTCCCCTGCTGCAAAAAGTCGTTTTTCTCAACTCACCATCGGTTGAAGGTGGCTCAGACAGGGAACAAAGGCAGTTATTGGGTCTCTTATTATGATTAATCCAACGTTAATCCGAAAAAATCCCCCCGCAGCTTTCTGTTTATTTGCTGCTGCTGCTGCTGGTCGCACCGGACAAAGAGCGCAGTCGCTACCAGCGTGTGAAATACACGCTGTGGGTGTTTTGTGATGTTTTATGGTTAAAGTTAACCCCTGAGTAGCTGTTTATAACGTTATAAACTGCATTTATTCGTTTGCCTGCAGCCTCTCTCCTGTAACACAAAAGGCTCCCAGTTGAAATGATCGATAAGCGTCTCACATTTCCAGCGCTGCAGAGAGGCTGTTTCCAAACAAAGGGCCATTCCGCAAAGCTCCATCTCCACTCACATTCTCATTAGCCTCATACCCCCGGCTCTGCACAGCCACAAAATGAGCCCAGACACGAGGGGAAAGGGTGAGATGAAACCCATGGATAGTCAAAAAGCAGCCTTTTATGGTTACTGGGAGCACTTTTTTTTCTACGGCCATATGGTGCGAGAGCCACTGGAGCTTGTCTGGGGTTTCATGTTGCTCCAAGGTATCTGGAGGAAGGAGGGGGAAGCTGCAAACTGTGGCTGCTGCCTTCCTCTGTGACTGCTGTATCTAATTGCATCTTATAAATGCTCATCGATTCCAACCCATAACTAAAGGAAATCTGAGCCTCCTGAATATGAAACTGATCTCTGCTCTCAGTCTGGTCTGAAAAAATGTTGTGAGTTTGAATCTGTCTGAGAGATTTGATATATTACTTATAATCAGCTAAGGTATTAGAGCCAGATTAGTTCTGGCTTTAGTTTTGTTGTTTGCCTCCAGGCTTGGCATGTAAACCTTATGTAAGAATTGATTCTGGGCTATAATTTGCTAGTTATGACCTACTTTATCACTTCCTGTCATCACAAACAAATCACTCAGGTGAAGTCTTATGATAGTTGGTCAAACAGGAAATATGTGCTGCTTTTCAGATCAATTTGGCATAGTGCTGCTTTATAATGCAAATCCAGCACTGGCTCAGTATTAACACCTGCGATAAACATGTGCATAGGTCTGAATTTATGATTTAAATGAGAAAAACTTTAATGCAACCAAGTATTAAAACCAAGCCTTTGTGTTGATTTCAGAGGTACAGGCACTATATGACAGATGATTACATGTGCCAGAATAGTTGTGTAATCAAAAGTAACTATGCTTCATTTTTACCTGCAGCAGTTCTCACCTGCCTTTCTGCTGTCTGCATGTCAGAGCTTTGCAGAAAACAGGCTGACACACAAAAACATTCTGCAAACAAATGCACACAGAGCCATTGTTTACCACAATAGATATTACCCCACTGAAACCAGTTTTATGTGATCAAACTTAACTGACAGGGTGATCAACTAAAGGCTCAGTTTAGCATTGTCTTCTATGACATTGCAAGATACTTGATGGTACAACCGAGCGATGACATAATCTGTTTGAACCTGCTGAATCTGCTTGTTCTGCCTTTTGCTCCTCACAGTAATGTACACACTTTAGGTTTTTAAAATATGTAGGGACCTTAGATTTGAAGCCTTTAGAAATGCACATATTCAGAATAGCATGTGTCTACACCAAACTAAAAGTGTCATGCTAAATCAGTACAAACATGTGTACCTTTGCAGCCGTAGTTATCACTGACATGCACTGTATTTATCCCAAACGCATTCCATTTTAATGGTATCAACAAATGTTTCTGCACATTGCATGTTTTTCTCAAATCCTGCAGGCTTGTATGTTGCACATGTTGTGAGAGGTAGATTCTGTGATTTTGGGTGATGTCTGTCATTGGATGCATGTTTCAGCTGAGGTTTAAACAGTCAAAACAAAGCCGTCAGCAAACACTTCCAGTCTTACCTGCCTCACCGCTGAATCATCTCCAATCCCCCCCTCAAGGTCAGTCATAGCAGGCAGACACACGGTTTTGTCTTTCTGTCAACGCAACAGACAGGCTAAATAGCTGTGTGACATCAAGATAAGATGTGGCTCCTTCTTCTCTCTGCAGACCATGGGAACCAGTTGCTGCATGAAGAGTTTGCAGCCTGACTTAACATGAGAACAATTGAGTTTTGTTGTTTCTCAGCAGGGTTTAGATATAGGCCGGGCCAACAAGCTCGCTCACACACACACAATGCACTCATTAAGGATCAAGTTACACACCTGTAAATGACAGTCTGAAGAGAGCCTTCACCTCACCTGGCAGCACATAATTGCTACTTTAAATAGCTGCATTACTTGTTTTTAGGAGATGGATGTAGATGGCGAACGTTGTAACAAGAGCTCGGTGCAGGGACGAGGCTGCGTGCTGACACATTCAGGGCACTGGTGTGTGTGGGTCCAGTCTCTGAAGAACAGCCTGAAAAATGGATGCCAAACTTTTTTGTTATTACATAATTCATAAACTTTTTTAAATAGTGTATACTTGTTACAGTTTTTGGTGCTTTTTTTTTCAGGTTTCGGTGGATGAGGCTTCTGTGTGACCTTAGGGGAACCGAAACAGCTTTTTTCCACCTAAATTTCAGTTACAACTATCATTCTGAGCAGATAATTCATCCTTGAGTGGTTCCATTCACCTTCAATTCAAGTGAAAATCAAAATAACACATCTGTGCTGCATTGGACACCAAGGAATTCCCAAAACACTTTATCTCACACGCTAAGCTATCATGAGTTACAAGAATGTTTAGTTTTTCCTCACAGCTATATCACAAGCTCAGCAGGAGCTCTTTTTCGACAAATTCATACCCGCCTGTAGACTGGATTACATGTTTTCTTCTCAGAATCACTGGGCCTGGAGCCATATCTGTTACTGCACTAGTTTTTGCTCCCAGGCAGTTGCCTGTTGAGTGGCTCAGGTTGAAAACTTTGCTTGTCAAATTAGTTGTCTGGGTCACAGAAAGTTTAAGGAAAAAGCAGGATTGTTTGAGAAGAGAAGGGCAGTTGTAGCCTGCTGTAGTCACAGAAATGCCTTAAGCAACACGAAATGTCAATTATTGAGAATGTAAAAGCAGCACACACTGACGTCTGGTTCACACTGGAAGCGCCGCGCGCGGAACGGAAGCGCCGCGCGCGCGCGCAGCGCCGGCTCGCGCTTGGCTGTTCACACAGGAAGCGCTTTCTGCTGCGCTCTGACATGCCGGTCAGACATCGACTGAGCCCGGTAGTGCTCGGCCGTTTCCGTCTGCCCTCAGTTTTCCACACTTACGAGCGCTTTAAAAATGGGTAAATCACTATTTATTTACGTTTTTATTTCGTCATACATGAATTAAATATTGACAGCATCTTCAAGTATTGTTTTAAATTATTATATAGGGGTAAACGACGAATAAATTGGGAAGTCTGTTGACTCCGTTGTATGTATAGCCTTGTTAGCTCGAGGCTATTGACTGTATCGTAATAAAGTCCCCCCCCCTCTTTGTCTCAATAACATCACTGAATCTCTGCAGCTCTCCCTCCGTGTGTGTGTGTGTGTGTGTGTGTGTGTGTGTGTGTGTGTGTGTGTGTTTGTGTGTGTGTGTTCATCGGTAAAAAAATAGACCGACAAGCAACACCGTCAATCTTTTTCTAATTTATTGAAATTTACTTTATTTTGAAAATTGACCGGATTCTCTCGCATCTCCTTCCTGACTTCCTGTCTGGTCCGATCTGCTCTGTTGAGCTTTACATCGGCGCGCGCGGCTCGCGCCAAAAATAGAGAGAAGCGGAGCAGCCGCGCTCCAGAGCGCGAGCCGTTCCGCGCGCGGCGCTTCCGCGCGCGTGCTGTGTGAACAGTCTCATAGGTTAACATGGGCGCCGATCTGAAACTCTGTGCGCGGCGCTTCCGTTCCGCGCGCGGCGCTTCCAGTGTGAACCAGACGTGACACTTTCTGCATGTTACAAGTTGAAATCTGTTAAGGCACCCTTTAGGAAACGGAGTAATTTGAGCACAAAATGCTAATATTTCTCATTTGACACAGCTTTTATGCTTCAACAATCCTAAATTGAGTTGACTGATGTGTCCCTTAGATGCCCTCCACCCCCGTACATTACAACTAAAGGCCTTTGTGTGTCAGCCTCCTTTAACGGTAATACTGACGGATTGAGGAGACGTGAGCTCATCAACAACTCATTGGCCCATGTGTTCATAATAATCTACTCCTCGCTCCTAGTCATAATTAGAATAATCAAAGCTAAGCGTGCTTCTATTTGTATTACCCCCCCACTCCCTCCCACCCTTCATACACACACACACACACACACACACACACACATACACATGTGTGCCCAGAAGCCCCCATACCAGAGCCTTATAAAGTCCTCAGAGAGCAGGAGGAAGGGATATAAGAGGGGTAAGGGCGGGGGGGTTTCTTAAGCTTTGAGTCAAGCTTTGGGATTATTGGGTCATGCTTTGTTACCCAGCTGTAGAAAAACCCCTTGTTCACGGAAAGGGGGGCAGGAGGGATCTGTGTGTATATGTGTGTGCACGTCTCTGTCTACGCAACGTTACATAAAGCTGTAATGGGTCCCTGACGCCTTTTGAAGCAACGGTGACTCCGACAAAGCAAGGCAGCAGAGTCGAACAGGATTAAACTGTACGGAAGAGTCAGGCAGGGGGCTGATCGCACTGTGTGGCTTCTTAACTTTCAACACTTCAGGTCCTGGAATAACTTAACGCCTGAAAGCTGGTCCTGATATAAATCAGCCCCAAAACTGTCAAGTGTCAAAAGTTGAGATATCAGATTTCTGCACAAACTTCTTTCAGCCTTTTTTGGATTTAAACTTTGTCTTTCATCAGACTGCTTTGGATTTGAATAAAAAATTAGCCAGATACGGATGATTTGTACAAAGGGATTGCATGTGTAACATTTAAAAATTTCACCGTCCTTCGACACAGGCTGTGAATTAATTCACCAAGTTAGATGCAAAGCAGTTTTACTTTTACTGAAATTAAGAGGCTATGTGAATTTAAAATGCCAACAGCAAGTTGGTGTAAATGTGAGTAAAATCTATATTTGGTGTAAGTGATGAACTGATTTACCTTTCAGAATGACAGGGAAAGAAGAAGAGTATGGTTCCTCAATGACTAAAAGACCTACAGCCAGTGAGCTCTGTTGATCAGTCCACTGACAAGTTTTGAATTTATACTTCTGTCTATATAATACATGGAAGGAATATAACAATAGAACATTCCTAGAGCCCAAATTGACACATTTATATTACTTTATTTGACCCAAAATGCTGATAACATTTAAATATATCTGAGGAAGTGCTGCTAGACAACTTCAAAATCCAGCAAAGGTACCAACAAGGGAACCATCATTAAAATTTTGGGCACTACCAGTGCAAAATGATGGAATTAAAAGACACAATACTCAAACATTGTCTGTTAGTCAACATCAGAATTATGTGTAGGTTGAACTAATCACTAATATTTTTATCATGGTAAACCTGAAACAATGGTATTTTGAGTCTAAGATCCAGTACTGCCACAATTCTGTAGCTCAGGTTGGTTATGGCTGCTGCCACTGTGCTTTAGCGCTCTACCATCCGGTTGTAAATAAGCACAGATGACAGGTGGCGTCTTGTAGCATGGCATGCAAATATGGAGATAATGTTGAGAGTAACCAGCATTTAGCTATTCGAGTGGAGCAATGAGTAACCAGCACAATCATGTGAACAGTAACCTGCAAAGTGGACTGAAGACTGGTGTTAGCCGTACTCTGAAAACCCATGTGAAGTGGGTTACTCACAGACTCTGTGATTTTGTGCTTAGTCCTCTCAAATAAATTGTAGTCAAATTTGATTGTTTACTTTTTATTTTCTTTCTGTTTTTTACCCTGTTGACTTTTTGGCAGAATTTGAAAGAAATTTGTCATAACTACCGTCACCTGGGGAGAGGATTATGCTGCAACAGCCCAAAAAATATATGTGAGAGAAAATGTGCTGCAATTTTTAAAAATGATGTCAATTCAAAAACACATGCAAATACTACTACTACTACTACTACTAATAATAATTATAATACTACTACTACTACTAATAATAATAATAATGTAAAGACAGAGATGTGTGCTGCAAAAACTGGATCACTCTTAAAGCAAATGTGCTGCAAATTGAGTAAGGAATGCAAAATCAGAAAACAGCTGCAAAAGAAAAATCCTACAGATTAAGATGTCACAATAAAAGCACTACAGGCCTGCAGGGCGGGCGGGCGCTCTGTGGAACAGCTGCAGTACGTCTTTCTTGGTGTACATGGTTTGGGTCTTGCAGTATGATTGCCTTTGAAGGCCACTGTACACCCTGCTTAGTTTAATCTGAAGAGATTTTAGCACAGAAGACGAAAATCAACTGTTAATCCAAAAGCTCATCTATTATATGGTCATTATTCCATTCTTCTACTTGTTAAATCTTGATGTAGGCATTTGAGATCAGCTCAGATCAGTGAAAACTCAGTGTAGGAGTCTGTACAAGAGCAGCCATTTGGTTTTTAGTGGACTTCTTACTTCTTCTCCTTGCATTACTTAGTGTCAGTTTGTATGTGAGTTCCAGTTTTCAGTTTGCTGAGTGTGTGTGTGTGGGAGTGGTTGGTCTTGCCAGTATTTCCTCAGATGTAATTTCCTGGCAGAATGGCCGCGGGGTTCCTTGTTGTGGAAAAAGCTTGCGAGCCTCTGGTGTAAATCCACTCTTTGGTTGCTCAAGAGGAGCGCGCTGCGATAAAAGACAGAAGGAGGCGGTGAGCTCATCCTCCCTTGCCTCATCTCCCATCTTTCCTGGACTGACACAGCTCAGTTTCTATCTGTCTGTCCGTGTCTCTATCTCTGTCCTATCTGAATTCTCTGTCCTCCTCTTCAAATCTCTATTCTACATGTAAGTCCACGTCTGTTTCTATCTTTCATGCTGTTTCTTGCTCTCCACACCCTCTCTCCCTGGCTGTTTCTGCGACTTACATCAGTTAAATATGAATCGCACTTTAATCATATTCTGTCTGTAGGCTCCTGCTCAGTAAGCAGATTTCAGTCGACCCAGGCCAGATCATTTCTCGCCCTCCGTCTCCTTTGCTGTCCAAGCTTGGGGTTGCTTCTGAAGTCAGTGTTTCTGTTTTGGACTGGTTTGGTAAGCTGGAAAGATTCAGTCATTGGTGTTGTGTGAGGCGAAGGTCAGAAAGTTGACAACTACACTCAAGGGTGCGTCTCTGCAACACAGTTGAGAAGGTGGCTCATGTTCTTTTTGGTAATGGTGAGTAATTTCACCAAGGTCAGACTCCGTATCAATTAGCTGATGGTGGATTCATGAGGGAGTTCATGCATGCTTCAGGGCAACATTCCTCCTGTAATGACCCAGCTCCCAAACTCTAACTTGTAATGCTGATAAACAGTTTGATTTTTTCATACTTTTCAACAAAAAGTGTTTTTTCAGTAATTGGTGTGCAGTTGTATTTTGCTGTTTAAACTGTATTTTAAAGCTGCCTTTATCAGGTAGTAGATTTCAACAAAGCCTTCAGATGGCACAGAAACGTTTTTTTGACGTCCACCAAATAAGATTGCCTGTGATTCCTTTGATCTACAGACATAACGTGGATCCATTACTCCAACCATTTTACCTTTTTGACATGAAAAATACATGAATGGTAATAAAGAGTATATAAAGTCACAATGAAGACTGTTTAGGTTCCTTTGTCTTTACATACTAAATAGTAGGAACATGTGTACTTTTACTGCAAAAATTGTAATATTGGCTATCATAGGGTCTTTTTGGCTTTGGGAGACAGCCTCAAGTGGATGCTTGAGAAACTGCAGTTTTGCCTCCCATCATTGGCTTCATTTTTACTGTCCTAGGCTACGTTATGACGCACAATTCAGATTTTTTTGTCAAATCCAATCTTTTTTTGCAGTCATTCACATTAGATTTTAAATTTCACATTTAGATTTCAAAGTTGCACTCACTAATATTTTCTTATCATCACAGGATTAAACGTCTGCATTCTTCTCAGCTTTACTGCTGTTACCTTTGGTAGCCCCCTAGCTTCTTTATGTAAAAGCCTTTGGATAAAGCGCTGTAAACTACCTGCACTGAGAGAAAAGGACTAGCTTGTGATGAATTGCAGTGTTAAGCGTCTATCTCCTTGTCTGCCACATGATAGCCTACTGTTTTGCTAACACATAAGTTTTGTTGAAGGATGATGTAATATCACACCTATTACTCGACCACCACAAGTTAATTGAAAATATTGATTTAAAGGTAATGTAACTGGTTCAAAAAACAATTTATTTATACAGCTGAAACAAGGGCCCCTTCATTTTTTTGACCTATTTGAAATGCTAACAGAAAACTGACGTTTTTGCCACAGTGTCAACAGGAAAATGTGAAATTTTCCCTCCTCCTCCTGTGGGTTAATTTGAACACGTATGGTGCAATTTGACCTGCCATTGTGTTTGAGGTTTTTGATCGATAATCACTGCCTTTGTAAGACTCCTTGAAGAAGAACTGCTTTAAAGCTTCTCCTGCTCCTTTCACTTCATCTTCTGACTTATAAAAACAGAAGCTTATTTTTTGAATTAGCATATTTTTGGCCTTTATGTGATCAACTTTTTCCTGTACATTTATAACTGTTGATTAACTCTTGTTTTGAAATATTTTCTTTCTAAGTTCTTAAGTGCTTCATAAGAGAAGCCATTGTTGTTAAAATGCAAATCATCCCTTTTCATTTCCAGACATTTTCAACATGTAAGTGTTTCAGCCTTCACTGCAGGGCTAACAGGATGCTTGAACATTAATTTGCAAAAAGCCTGTCTTTTATTTTCTTGAGTGCATTTGTTGTCTGTTTATCTATCTGCGTATATTCACAGAAGAGCCCAATCTGAACCACAGCTTCAGCCACTTTGTTCAAACACACACATTCACACACACACATACTCTCACTCGGTCTGTCTGCAGCCCTTCCCCGCCGCACAACACAGACAGACAATATTTAATCAGTGTAATTAATTCTATGCCCGCCACACTCGAACAGAGAAAATCGGTAAAACAAATCGTCCCGGCTCTCTTATTAGCTCTGGGAGACGCTTGTGAAAGATGAGGCCATTAGAAGATGCTCTGTTGTTGTATTCATCAAAGAGAAGAGGCACCTGTACACGCGTGTGTGAGAGCACATAAGGGTTGATTATATGAAATCATTAATCAGAGGTTGTTGTTTGACGCCGTCCTCTATCAGACAGAGAGGCGACCATCTGTACGTTAAGTCTGAAAGACAAAAAGCTTGATGAAAGGATCAGAAAAGTGGTCATTCACTGATTTTCATTCTTTGTCTGGAGTCAAAGCTGTGTCCAAACTTTGAGATCTGCATTGCACAACACCTGTTTGCATCTCCTCCATGTCTTTATGTCTTTGGTTGTCATGTCTGTTGCTGTGTAGTGGTTACATATGCTGGTTTGAGGGCAATAGAGGAGGAAGTGATGGTCTTTGGGGGTTCCGGAGTCAGACAAGATCTTCATCTGCAAAGAGTTGTAAGTAGGCAGTCAGTGCAGCAGCAGACGGTTAGGTCTCAAATTTCAAGTAATGCATAGGTCTGACTAACATGAAGTGACAGTTGGGTCATGTAGAACTTGTGATGGTACCATTAGTTTTATTGGTATTGATACCGTTATCGATTCTCCTCGATTGATCTTCTGTAGTTTATACCTTCCTATTGTTTGGGGAAAATATCGATGAAGAAAATGAACTGATAGAACCGGTGTTGCTTTTATTGTTGGCATATTATGCACAAGCCATTTTACAGACCCAGCTGGGAATAGGTATCAACGTACTGTAAACATATGTCACCTTCTTTAGTAAGCCAACAAGCTTTGACCTTCAGATTTGAACACAGATTTTACAATTATATTTACTATTTTCAACTTGGCATGATTTGTTAGAAAGTTTAGGTGCACTTACTCAATCTGTTTTGGTGGAGGAGGTGGATGGATGCAGTTTATAGAGGTTTTTTTTTTTTTGATAACCCTGTGCCAGCGGGAGGTTCTGCATTTTGGTTTAATTTGTTGCACTGCACAGATCAGCATGGCTGTTGAAGTTGTGTTTGCCTCTTGTAAGAAGATATTTTGCTATCAAAGTATGTCTGCCTCCAGTAGGATAGGTGGTAACATCTCCCGTTCTGCTCGTAACTACGAGGTCATCTACCTTCTTGACTTAATACTTTATCTAGCAAAACAGTCAACCAAAGAATTAGCAAGTGTCTGACAGGGTGTCTGTCAAAAGTTTAGACCAGTTTGGTAGAGGAGAAATTTGATCCCAAAGCGCATTATGGAGGTATTCTACTCCATCCATGAACATTTATGTGTATTTCAAAGGTGTAGTTTCAGTAGGACTAATACAGTAAATTGATTTTTGAACAACAAGCAAACATACTTGGTGAGTGGCAAAAGCAAATCCGACCATCAGCACTGGGATTGATCTATTTAAATACCCTATTTAATGCCTCAAACCACTGCTGCATAGGGGTAGGTGTCAGACGATAAATATCTGAATGCAGGGTGCCCAAAAAGTTATTTTTAATCCCTGTTTCATTCTCAGTAAGTCTCAGGAATTTTGACTGTTAAAAATGATAGGCTGAGATTTCCTTTTTTTAAAAATAGCAACTTTCAAAAGTACAGGGTAACATTAGCAGAGAGATACAACTTTGCGAAACTCAACACAGTCCTCATAGACAGTTTAATTTCTTGCAAAAGAAAATGTTTTGGAAAACAGACTCTTGAGAAGTAAATAAAGAAGCTTTAATAAACTGGTTAGAGGCAATTCTGCAGTTTTTCTGCAGCCCAAACCAAGAATTCAAAATCAACATGAAATTACGGAAAAGTTTCAGCTCCTGTCTTCTAAATCTAACACCTGTTTTTGTGCATTGTTTCCATTTTTCCCCTGTGGCTGTATTTCCTGTACATGCGCTCAGTTTAAACCTGGCCTCAGGTGTTCTCAGCCACATTTTTGCTGCGATTTCCAGCTATGCTATTTCCACTCTGGGCTTGTTTGCAGTTGCAAGCAAAAAGAAAAAAAAGGCATTTTTTTCCTGACATTGGTGGTGTGTGCACAGCTCCGTCCCTCCACAACAGCTCCTTTCTTACTATGTGTGTGTATATCTGCTCATGCGATGAGATAAAAACAGAGCAAACACCCTTTTTTTACTGCCCCTCTGCTGTTTTCAAGCCTGCCCGTCCTGTGTGCCGCTCTGTGTGTTTTCCTCCACCTTCAGTGCTTTTACCTCGGGTGGTGGGTGTGCAATTACGAGCCGAGATCACTGCCGGCCTTGTCCTTTCAGCTTTTGAAGCTGACAGTCTGCTGTATTCTGTTATTGCACTCTTCCACACCTGCCTTTTATTGGCTTTTTGTGTGTGTCCAAGTGTGTGTTGTTTACCAGGGTTGTTGTACACATTTGGCCTCTGTCCATGTCTGTGAGAGGCTGGACATGAAAGAGAAGTCAGAGGCTTGCAGACCGGACTATTATGGCCTCGTTTGGTTGTAATTGCCTAACAAATGTTGGGGGAAGGAAAGGGAAAGACATGGAGGGGGAGGCGGTTATTTGAGATGCAAAAATAGATCCCAGTCAGATTCTCATAATCAGGGTTTGAGCTGCATCTGCAGGTCGGTTTAACCATTCTCTACTTCTCTTATGTGTAACATCATCTGATAACTCATTCCACATGAGATTGGGTGACGCATTTCCTCAAAAAGAAAAGCCATGCCCGTGGCGAGAAACATGACATGAGGGGAATTCCAGGAGAGGAAAACAGTGACAGGTAGCGTTGTCTAAAAAACAAAAAGGTGAGGATCTTTTTGTTAAAGAAGAGTTTTCTCTCTTTAACATATAGGAGCTAAGATTAAGGAGAAACATTCTTCTTTCAATATATTGACTCCAGACCTTTTTCCATCCTGATTTTTTTTTAAACTTGGTAAGAGGAAGCAGCCTCACTGCTTTCTCCACATGTGTGCTGATATTGATTACTTGATGGTTGGATGGATCTCAGTCAAGCAGAACTCTTACTGAAAGTTTGTGTGGGTCTGGATGTGTGCACGTCCTCTCTTCTCTTTTATTAGCCTCGAGGGATTCTGGAAAAGCCCCGGAAAAAGCTCAGAGGGTTTGTTGATGTTTTTGAGACCTGTGCTTTTCAGACAAATATTAAGAACATGCAGGATCAGGTACCAGAAAATTCAAACCTCTTCATATTTAAACTCTGGGATAGATCAACACAGGATAAAAGGAACTTCTTACACAAAGCCTCCGCGATATTAATCACGTTTTTCTTACTAATATGAAACAAGAAAGAGGACCTATAGCTTGTATTCAAACACATCTCACTCTATCTAACCTTGTTTTCTCTTAATTGATAATTAGGGGGTTTAAAGAAAGTAGAGGCCTGACTTTGGTTTCAGGTCACTGTGATCATGTTGCTTGTACAGGACTGTTTTTAAAGCTCCTGTGAGGGTTTTGAGAGGTTAGAAAAAACAGACTGAAATGACCTGTGATATGTCTCTATGATGTATAAAAGCAAATGAAACCATCAACAGCAAGATTGGCAACTTCTGTATTTAAACTTTGAATACCTGTAACTGCTGTGAGGGGTACACTAAAGAAAAAGCCAGACATACTTTAAGTCCCACAGTAAATATTCAATGTGAACGATAAATTCATCTGAAAAAGACAGCAGAAGTTTATTTTGACAAGCAGTGGCAGTCTGTCACTACTGTTGGGAACTTTGTATTTGTGTTGATTTTCCGTGTCTTTGCTGACTTCCTCCTGTCTACGTGTTGGTCGTGTTTAATGACAAGAAATCTCACCCTGCCTTCTTTTCACAGTCAGATGTAATTGTGAGCAAGAATATTTGTTGAGAAAAAACGAAACAAGCGTTTCTTCTTCAGTGTGCTTGTTTGATTTTAGATGTTGAAAACTATCAATGGTAGTTTGTTTTGTAATGGTCTCATTTGCTTTTGTAGGTCTTTAAGAGTCACCAGAGTTAATATAAGTCTACTCCCTAAGACTTATATTAATATAAGTCTACTCCCTAAAGGTTTTAGAAACCTGGTTTTATTTGAATGAGTCTAAGCTACAGCCTACCAAACAAGATGTGGTCTTCAAAAGGTCTTTTTTTTTCATTGGGAAAAGGTGGTTGTCTGATAACCAGGGTTTCTGTTTATTCAAAACAATACAATACTTTTCACCTTGGTTTGGCAGATCCACAGCAGCCATGCTCCTTAATAAATGGGTATTTCAGCAGTATTAGATGAAAATGTTCTGCCTTTTCCCCTCAGTTTACTTCAAGAGCAGCTGCAGAAACCAAACCAAGACACTGACAGACAGGGGGCTCACACAGCTAATTGGATTAAATTTGACCTTTTGCTCTGAACATGATCATCTGCTCTGGTTACCTCTGCGACACTGAAACACCAGTGGAGACTGTTTTGGGATACAGCTCTGTGGATATTCCAGCATGCTCAATTTAAAGACATACACAGCTTGAATCTCAAATTTAGTTTGGCAAAAACGGGCCTGCAGAAACTTCAAATATCTCAAAGTAATGTGAAAAACCTTTGAAGCTCAACATCTGCATTATTTGAATACATCCCCCCTTTTCCCATAATGCCTTGCTTTGTTATAGCCACCCTGATCTCTATGCTAATGCTCTCCCATCTTTCTTTTAAATGCCGCAAATTAGCTGCATTATTGTGTGGACCATCTCCTCTATCAATGGCTGGTTGTAGATCATAGATATCAAGCTCAGATAGTCATCACTGTCATACCTCTTTTGAATACACACACACACACACACTCACACACACACACAAAGTCACACACACACGGTTGTGTATTGCAGCGACTGCCTGTTTCCTATGTGCTTTTCCAATCTCAGCAGCACTCAGAGCGGCTCTCAGCAACAGTGCTATTACTGCCAACAAGACAGACGAGGGCCCATAGGAGCCCATTGTGAGAGAGACATCCATTATAGTTGGATTAGAAACTATTTCCATACATTTGGTCGGCTTTGATCTGAGGAAATGGGAGTCAACAACCTTGCAGCATGTCTTTTTTTCTCCCTCTTTGTGCATGTGTGCAGCTTATACTGTTGTGGCGTACAGATGTGCTCCCTCTTCATGTTCCTCTCTGACAAAACCATCTCTCTCTGCTTTATGCAAAACTCAGTCTGTGATTCCTCTGTACTGACCTCCTCAAATGGTTTGATCTTTTTTGGCTGTGCAGGTTGTCTGTCCTGGTCATCTCCAGCCTTTTTATCGCCCTCTTTCTCTTCTGAAATGTGAGGTTTTAAAGGAAGCACTTAGTGCTGAAGCTACGAATAATTATATCACTTAGAGACCAAGTCCCCTATTATGGTGATTCAGACTGTCAGTGTGCATTAGCAAATGGGCTGGGGCCTCCTGTGTGGCTGAATTATTCGGAGTCTTTGAATGTGAAATGTGAACAGCACACCAATCTTTAACCCCGAAAGGTTTGACAAAGTCGTCTGTTTCCCTTTGTGTCTGCAGGCAGCTCCAATCTACCAGTCTGTTTCTGCAGCTACACTTGCATCCAGCTGCAAGTCATGAACAAACCTCTGAAATAGGGGGGGTATACAAGGATCAAAACAAAACCCATATAGAATTGATTAGTCCTGCATACAGCTAATCCTGATCCTATTCATGATAATGAAAGAGAAACATTGTCAATTGTAAAAACATGCGGCAACACAGATCTTCAACCGTAATGAAGGTTTATGGAAATCTACAGACAGATCTCTAATGACGAAGGAGTTGAACTAAAGCATTATGTGGTGGATAATGTATAGTAACCAGATTGTCAATGTGAAGTGGAACACAGAGAGAGTGGTAAGGATGAGTCACCTACCAAGGAAACCAAATACTGACTTGAAATGAATCAATTTAAAAATGGCTTCTTTTACTGTGTCACGTTACCAAAATTTATAAAGCCAGTATCACGGCATTCAGTGCCAAAATGATAACTGAAACTGAGACATTATTGGTTTGATTCTTGACTTCTAAAGGAACCAAAACAGGATGTCTAAGGGTTAGTCACAGATGGATTATGTATTTGATTGACAAACCCTTCTACACAGTATTTTTATTTCCACAGCCACTATGGCCGCTTTTCCTCTGCAGAGCTCCAGTAGCTCATTAGCAATTCTCCTCTGAGTCGTGGGTGGAGACAGCGCTGCCTAACATTGCCGGTGTAGTAGAAGAAGCAGGTAACATAGGAGCTATTTAGTTCTTGGACACTAATGTCTTTGGTGACATGATGAAAGTTAATATCATAATTAGCTTTCTTATGAGCATTGCAATCTGCTAACTCACACGCTTGTTCCGCGATTGTCCTCTCTATTTCTTCAAGTCTAGCATACATAGCGGGAATCTAGATTTGTGAAGTAGGAAATTCTACTGTGTCTGAACCTGTCATTTGGGTCTGCCAGAGATTCACAAGGATTTAAATCCAGAAACACTCAGAAATGCAATTTTGCACTTATTTCTCTCATGCTTTGTCCTGTAGCATCAGATAAATGTCATATGAACACGTAGACAACATGAAAAACATGATTTTCATCAGAGTGGGTCTTTAAAGGTTTTGCAAAATCTGTTGCACAAAGGTTTTTAAAGTCATTGAGATTTCCATCTGAGTCGGTTCTGCAGTTGAAGTAGTCAAACAGAAGACCTGGTTCTGTTCACCAGCACAGGCTGAGGTATTCTTTAAGATGACTCTGCTGTTGTAAGTTGTGGACATGTTAAGGCAGAGGCATTGCTTTTCTGTCTGTTAATGTCAGCAGATAGTCATGTTGTTTAAGCGTAAATAACTGACAGGGGGCATGCTCTGCTAAGCACTGACTTGAATAAGAGTTCAACAGTTCTCACGGTGAAGTAACGCGCATACTTTGAATATTCAGATTGAGGCTTGCAGGCGAAAAACAATGTAGTAAACAAAATGTGCAGAGAGTGCTTTATTTGATTGCAATTCCCTCATGCCTTTCAGCGTCACTGTGATTCATCCCTCTGTTTTTTAAGAGGCTGCTGGGTCATGCTGCTCTGTCGATAGCCTCCTTCTCTCTAAACCAGCCTGCCTGCTAACTGGTGGGACATAAAAATACAGAATCCAATCAGGCTGCAGAGAGGAAGATGCATCCTCAGCAGTTGTTAATTGAACGCTGCTTTGATATGAATCACCCCAGTTTGCCCTTTTTCTCCGTTAGCACGTTATTCTGCTGTTTTTTCCACAGTTTCCCTCCCTCTCTTTCTGCCCTCCCTCCCCTCTTTATCTCACTGCCTGCTAATAACAGCACTCTGTGTGGGTTTCTTTAGTGGAAAGGCCTGCCATGGCCCATTAGGCCGCAGCCTCACCGACAAATGAATGCTTGGACTGACTGCAGAGAGAGGAGGAGGAGTATGAAAAAGGGTTGGGTTGGGAAAAGAGATGAAGGTGGGGGCAGTAGAGAGGGAGAAGAGGGTGTGAGGGGAGGAGAGCTAGAGGACGTGTGAAGCAAGAAAGGAGAGGAAGGAGGGAAGAGCTGAGAGGCAAATGTAGAGAGACACAACCAACCTGTCACCTCTGGCTGCCTCTACACACACACACACACACACACACACACACACACACACACACACACACACACACACACACACACACACACACACACACACACACACGCCTCACAGTCACAAAAAAGCTGAAGAAGAAGGAGGGACCTCATTAGGCTCTCAGCAGTCTATCACACACACAGACAGAGAGAGAGAGAGAGAGAGAGGGAGAGACACATAAGAGATGAACTATGGGGGAGGGGGGTGGCCTGAAAAAAGGAGGGAGGAGATGAATTGATAGGAGCAGTCAAGTGCAGGCAAACACACACACACACACACACACACACACGAGACAAGGGAGGACAAGCTTCCGCTACGCACGCACTCGCTGCTCCTCTCTATGCAACATGATTAATGTGGTCAACAGCCGTGAGGATCAGTCTGGTCGAGACCTCTTAGCCTTTTCTACACACACACACACACACACACACACACACACAACATGTCAGCCTTTTCCTCTTTAAGTGTCTTAGTGGCCTTTTTCTGGCTCGTCTGTTCGCACACCCTCCTCCTCACCCCGACCAGCCTCCCCTCCTCTCCTCACACCCAAACAAAGATAACAGAGGCAGACATGGGCTTGTTTTTGTTTGTCGAGCATTAATTTTAGTGCAGTTTACTCAACCTCTTTCCCATATGGGCTCCTGAAATTTTAAAAGATCAGGGAGGCAGAACATGGCTTCAGATGTAAGCTGAGACAGCCACTTAATGCCAGACAAAGCAAAAGAGAGCCCAAGTATGGTGGCTCTTTTTTTTGTTGCATTGCTATCAATGCTACATAGATGCCCTCACCAATCTATGATCATGGAAAAATAAAATCAACTGTTTGCTCAGTGAGGTTGGCAGAGGTGACATCATAAAGCAGGAGAAAGTTAGTACAACAAATTTATATATACATATACATATACATATATATGTGTGTATTTGTCATTGCCATTGTCATAGCAGTGCCAGTCAAACTCTTTCAGTCACGCTATCTGAAACCTGTGAGCCTCCTTTGCTGCTGATGCACCCCCTTTTTACCATCATCAGCTTCAGCACATCTCAGTAATGTCGGACTCCACAGCACTGTTTCTCTTTGCAGGCATCAAGTACTGTTCACTGTACTTGCAGATATACCGTAGTATGCATTAAATAATGGCTGCTGTTAGGAATAAATATGTTAGTTATATCAAATACCAAAAAAAAAAAAAAAACCCACAATATTGGCATTAAATATCAGCCCCCCACTATGATTGGTATCGGCTGTTGAAAGACTGATATCAGTCAACCTCTGCTAATAAACAATCATCAGTGAGCCAAGCATCAGCTCCCAGACTGATGGGCCGACTGAGCAGACCTGCAGTTACATCAGTAAAGAAACAAAATCAGAGCTGCTTTATAGAGATAACATAATGAGCAAATGGATCTTGGGTAAAAACCCATCCTGCTAATGCAGCCATTTGAAACATTACCTTTGTGAGATGGCCTCAAGACGTTTGAACCCAAACCACTTAAACTGTCAGTTCACATGAGGCCAGTAGACTGTCCATCACCGTCAGCTCAGAACACGCCGCTAAATGTCCACTTTAGGGCCCTGAATTATTTCTTCTTCTCTTACCTCTATCTGTGTGTGTGTGTGTGTGTGTGTGTGTGTGCGCCCAAGCGTGGGCATATATCAGTAAAAGCAGGGTTTCTGGTATTGGTCATGCTGTAACAGGATTAGGTGCCTTCTCTCCAGCCTTACACCACAGGACCATTGTCGTGTGTGTGTGTGTGTGTGTGTGTGTGTGTGTGTGTGTGTGTGTGTGTGTGTGTGTGTGTGTGTGTGTGTGTGTGTGTGTGTCGGGGTTTAGTCTCTGGGGTCTCACTCTGTCTTGTTAACCTAAGAGGGGGCTGTTGTGTAAGTGTGTGTGGGTGTGTGTGTGTGCTTGTTTTATTGCCTCTGTTCAGGGATTCTTTAAGGAGAACGGAAACTCTTCTGAACTCGGAGTTGTTTTGCAGAAGTCACTCAGTATCTTGTGTTCTTGGAGTTGTGCGTACTTGAAGTGAGTTTGTGTTTATTCAGCGGTTTAAAGCCTAAGTTGTTTATTCGTTCTTTTCAAAAGCAAATGTTTGTTCCTGATTTTACTTTGGATCTTGACCTTGGTGGAGATGCTTTTGAGTGCAGTAAGAAAGATCTAACGTTGAATCTGAAATTCTCCTCGTCTTTGTCTTTTCAATCTTTAACTATGTTTCCTTGAAAACGTCCACACACACCTACAGACACACACACTCACACAGGCACACCCGGACTGGGGTGAGGGTGCTTTTATTCTCCTCTTTTTGATTTTAAAGTCTAATTTTCACCTAGTTAAATTTTGCCTCAAAAAAGAGAGCATGTGGCACGCTAAGCACTTTTTCTGCCATCACAGCAGAAAGGAAGTCTCTATGTGTGTGTGTATGTGTGTAAGAGGGAGAGTGTGTGTGTAAAACAGTGTTCAAAGTGTTGTGAGTTATCAGTGGGATGAAACAGCACGGCTCTAACAATGGGATTAAAGCTGTGTCTATGAAAGAAGCAATTAAACGCTATCTTATCTCATCTGCTTCTCACACCAAAAAGCACTCTTATATTTTCAAGTTTTTCCTCCTCTTCTTCCTCTTCTCAAGAGGCATCTTTAACTTCTCAGCAGACACAGCTGATTGGTGGGAAGCCTAACTGTCTTGGCATGTGATTGGTTCATTTGATTCTATCAGGAATGGATCCTTTACATGAGTTTCACCTTTTTGTATTTTGTCAGTTTTTATTATCTTCTCAAAATAAATCCAAATTGATCACTTGTATTGAAAAACATACAGCAACATATACCACATTCAAAAAGCATGGGTCCATTTGATATGTGACAGGAAGATGTTTGACTTAAAGCTCCTTTAAGAAGTTTTTTGACATTTATAGAAGTGACTAAAATTTATTGTGATGCCTTTACAAATTCAAAAGCAAACAAAACCATTGAGGACCAGACTGACAGTTTGAATATTGTCATTTTTTATGCCTGAATCCGCTGTGAGGGGGTAGGTGTCAGCTGGACAGCTAAAAGAAACAGCATTTTTTGTGCAATTTCCATGTAAAATGTTACCAAGAACTATACCTTTGACTTTCAGAAGGTAGCAGGATAAGCTTGTTTTATCAAAAAGAAGCACAAGCATTAGAGGACAACACATGCAAAGACTGCTTTGTCCACAGGGGGTGCCAAAATGGACAAGAACGGAAAGTTCCTCACAGGAGCTTTAATTATTACCAGAATAGTAATAGGGTCAAGAATGAACTTTTTAACTCATGAGTCCAGATGAGAGGAATGAGAAAATATTCAATTTAGATTTTTTTTCAGTTGAAGCAATCCATAGAAAGTATTCTTATGTATTTGAAAAAAAAAACAAAAAACGTAACTATTAAGTGTTAACTATATACTGAACTATTTTGTTGCAAGCATTTACTGCAGCCCTCGCAAGATCACCAGCCAAAGACTATTTGGTATAAATGATTGTTCCTCCAGTTGCTTGGTCTGTAGCGCTTCCATGTCAAAAGTATTTATTTGCAGGTTGAATCAACATTAAACTTTATTTTGTCATCCAAGTTACAGCTTTAGCATTGGTCTGCTTTCCTGTTATTTATCCTCTGTGATGGCAGCAAGTTTCATCTTTGCCACATTGTCAACAGAAAAAAGTGAAATCAGAATGGATAATATGATAGGTAATAGATGTCACCCCTGACATTTCCTTTCTGCTCAAGTATGAAACACTGACTTTCACAAAGAGTTTCAGAGAAAAGATTCAGCTGCTGGTTCGACAGTGTTCATGTATTCATATGTTCAGACTGTGAGGAAACACATCCTCATACATTCATCATCATCATCGGCTACAATGAAAGGACAGTACTCACATCTTAACCTGTCCTCCTCTCAGTCTTTCCACTCCAACAATCAAAAAATTCCCTCACAGACGTATTTTTTCAGCTATTACCTTTAATCATCTCTTCATTCAGAGCGGTCGAGAGGAGATGAGAGGGAGACGGGTGAGGGCAAAGTGAAAGAGATGTGGCAGGAGGGGGGTGATGGTGGTGTGATTGAAGAGGGTTTGTCAGTATAATTCTCTCTGACCGGACTCTCTGTCTCCTCTCGGTGTCTCTGGGAGCGTCAGAGCTGCTACTTACCCTTCACATGCTCTCTTTGTCCTCTGTGGTATCCCTCTCTTGTTCCTTCCTTTTGGCTTTCCTCCATGGATGTTTCGGCCTCTGATTGCTCCTTATGATCTGAGCTAATTCTAGGAATGAATTCAGGTAAGAAAGTGAGCCATTTCTAATCGATCAGGCAAAGCTGTGTACTTGAGCGAGGGTTTTTTTCAAAAGAGAATTTTCCATCAAACTGAAAGTGGAGAGTGAGCGTGCAGTGTATATCCAGCAGCTGATTGCAGTCTGTTTTCAGCGTTAGGCTTTTTGCAGTTGGAGCGTCTCCAGGGCCGTTCAGATTGTGTTTCACTGACCTGACCTGAGCTGCTCTGCGGCTGATGGGCTTTTGGTGAAAGGAGCTTTTTAATCGAATTTGAGTCTGGCTGTAGCTTAAATCTGCAGTGAATGGAGAAAAATGTTTGGGTTTTTAAGTCTTATATATAAGACAGTCATTTTGTGCATATATTTCTGCACTTCTCATTCTTTTGTGATACTTCAATTCAGTTTGACACAAAGAACTTTGAGGTCTGAGCAGCTACTTGCTTAGCTGAGCATCCAAGTGCAGAATGAACATTAGGTGTCTTGTTGAACCAGGAAAACAAAAACTACATTTTGTAACATTTTTATGTGTTTTTAAAGCAAAAAGGATGGCAAAGAGTCTAGGGCTGAAACGTTTCCTTGAGGAATTTTCTCTGCATCGAGTACTCATTTATAACCTCAAATCATCAGTGTTTTACACAGATTCTTTTCAAGATGACACAATGCAGTTACGTCACCATGGTAGAAGGAGGAGTTAACGCAGTTTTGGTTTTGCAGAGCGGAACAAATGAGTGATGAGAAGGACTTTTCTTCTTTCTTTTCTTCCTGTTGCTCATTAGCAATTTGCCTCTGTGTCGTGGGTGAAGGCAGCGCTGTTCTGCACACTCCTCTTCATGCTAGCTTGTAGCCTAACATTGCAGGTGTAGTAGAAGTGGCAGGTAATATAGGAGCTATTCAGCTCTTGAACACTAATGTCATCGGGACATGATGAAAGTTAATATCATAATTAGCTTTCTTATGAGCATTGCAATCTGCTAACTCACACGCTTGTTCGGCGATAATTGCTCTTTAAAAAAATGTTTTTTTGTTTAATCTGATTACTCGATTAATCAATGAAATATTGGGTAGAATACTCGATTACTAAAATGTTAGCTGCAGCTCTAAAAGAATAACAAAATCCAGATTCAAAACATGTTTCCGTCAAAGTTTGGTTCAAACTCCGTTTTTAAAGGAAAGTTGTGGATTTTAGCTGCTAAATTCTCCACTGTTGCTGGAAACTACATTTGTAACAACACTCAGGCTTATCCAAAAACAGCAAAAATAAAACCTAGAATTCAAAAAAGCTGGTTAAAATAAATAAATAAATGTTTGTCTCCTTGGAGCTGTGGGTCTTGTGGGTGCTGTTAGCAGGGACATGAGACTGAAAACAGCCGAGGCCTCAAAATAACACAAGTGTCTTCACATTCATGACAGTTCGCTACTTCCCCCTGTGGCCGCTACACATCAGCTCATACATTCAGCACACAGTAAATACTCACAAACACAGACACACACACACACACGTCTCAGTGGATTTAAAACAGTCCTCATACCATTCCCATACTCACTGGACTAACACTGTTCACACACTGCATACACACACTGACCCAGGCCTTCATCCCCGGGGGTTTGCCATGCTATTTAACCACTGCTTTTGTTGCAGGGGTCTAAAGCCGAGCCAGGCACACCTTTTAACTTACAAAGAGCATTTCAGTTGGAAGCCATTGGTTACTGAGGCCTGGGGGCACCCTGTGTGTGTGGATGTGTGTGTTTCTCATGGTGGGAAAACCAAAAGACTATGATCAGACCCTCCTCAATTGCCCAGTTCCTGCTCCTTTCTTTTCTTTTTTCTCCTCCTTTTCTCCACCTTTCTATTCAGCCCTAGTAAACTAATTCCCGTAAAAACTCCACAGTGTTTTTTCTCTGCTGTGTCCAGCTCATCGGCCTCAAAGCTGAGCTTTTACTCAGGTTGCCTGAAGAGCTGTGTGAATCAACATGTAAAAATAAAAGCTACCCCTCGTGGCGTTTTGAAACAGGGTTGCTATGCATGCTAGTTAGGAGAACCTTTGGTAGTTTGACTCTGTGTATTGAATCTCTGCGGTGAAACCGGGCACTACTTTTGCTGTGTTGCCAGGTGACTGACTCAGCGGCTCAATACAAGAGGAGGCAGAAGAATGTTTTTGATATGAAACACCACAGAGCCAGCAAAGAGCCATTTTTCCACAAGCCAAGAAAAGAAGGGCCACACAGGGCCTGCCAGGACCAGCCTCTAAACGCTGCTGGCAGCCAATGAAAACCTGTTTCTTTATTATTACAGGAAAGGAGGGAGCTTCTTATCCCGTGGCAACAACATTACAGAGATGAATCCCGTAAATGGTGTCAAATCTTGTGAAATCTGGAGGTGCAGCGCCCCTGGCTATCCAGACAGGCTGACATCATCCAAAGAGGAGCTGAAACTGCAGAAGAAACCCACTCTAAAACACAGGTCTCAGCACAAAAGAAAGCAGGCTGTCCAGATATTTATTGCCACTTTATTAATCAAACTGTAATCAGATTAGGGAACATTTCTCTCTGCGGGGATTGTTCTGTAAAAGTCCTGTTGGATTGGTTTTTAAGCCCATGGTCACTATTAGCATAACCTGATTAACACACCTAGATTGATACTCACTAATTAATAATTACTAATGGATTTTAGGAGGTTTTTATAATCCTTTAAACCATTTAAAATTTAAATCAATTCATTTTTCAAGCTAAACCACTAAAAATGTTTTTTTTTTTTAGCTCGATTAATCCCATTCATTAAGCGAAAGTCCCAAATTGAAGACGCAAACTGGTGCTCTTCTACACATGGACAACTATTTTGTATTTTTTTAATTAAACACATTTTTGGTTCACTGATAAAACGTAACCCATGCAATAACAAGTATGAATTTTTAGTAACTGAATTTAAAACATTAATAAATGAAAAAACACCATAACCGAGCCCCTATAGTGTCTTCTTTACCTTTTGATAAAAACTAAGATGGCTAAATCCACTAATTAAATAAATGCACTTCATGTCAAACTATAGTACCTTGAGCCAGAGCTCCCACCAGCTGAACTAAGCACACAGGTGCCGCTAATAAGGCTAATATTTGCAAGCAACTGCATCACAAAGCTCGATTCTGGATTGTGCTGAACGCCAAAGACCTGTGGATGGGATTAAGTACAGCAGAAATTAAGTACAGCACCTACTACAATGGTTGGCAACTCACTGCAGATCAGACAACACTGTCGAAGGGCAACGAGTCATCCTCAGGTCTTCAGGTTTTGAAACTGTCTATCTTTTCAGACCATACCTGGAAGTGGTGCAGCATTAAGCGTTTTAATTGTAAATCTAAAAGTCTCAAATCAAGAAACTGAAACAGTTGTTTTTTCTTTCTTTCTTTTGTTTTTTTTGCATGTCCGAGTCCGACCTTATTTGACTTTCACAATTTAAAGTACTTATAGATATTTTTATGCTTTCAGTCAGTCCGTTTGCTGAATTCAGGCTTTTTATGAGCTTTAACTGACATGCAAACACAATAGCAATGCATCCATGTTGAAGTCACCGGACGTGAGCAGTTCCTTTCCTCTTTTTGGCTTCTTTCTTTCTCACTGTCTGTCTTTGTAGTCTCCTCTTTCTGTCTCTGCTCCCTGCAGGATTGTGTCATGGCTGTCTGTTAACTTGAGGGGGAGTCCCCCCATTCGTCTGTCTCCTCTCCCTCAGGTCCTCACACTGAAAGGACCTCTTCTTTTGTCATAAATACTGTGTGTGTGTGTGTGTGTGTGTGTGTGTGTGTGTGTGTGTGTGTGTGTATGTGGGAGTGTGTGTGAATCCCTGTGTGTGTGTGTGAATGTGGGAGTGTGTGTGCATGTGGGCAAGGACAGGCTGCTGTGACATTTCTATTGAGTTCAAAGCAGTGAGTGGGAGTGTTTATGACACTAGAAAGCAACTATAAGATCTCAGTGTCTGAATCTGTCACTCTTTTACACTCTTTTACACACACACACACACACACACACACACACACACACACACACACACACACACACACACTATGAACCTTGCTAACCCTGGAGCTTGAAAACTAAGAGCTTCTCTTTGTAGTCTCTCTCTCTCTCTCTCTCTCTCTGGTGTGTCGCTCTGAGGCTAGCTCAGGATCTCTGCACTGACCTCCGACCATAGAAACGCAGTAAATGGGTCCTTTTTTTCCCAGATACAACAGAAGATATCTGAGCTTCACACTAGGCTTAGTTTGCACCCACTCTCTCACTCACAAACACACACACTGGAATGACTCTGAGTGTGTATTCTGTGCACTGATCAGACGTTTGTTCCCCGTGGGTATGAAGTGAGAGCAGGCTGTGTTTCTGTCAAAGGAAAGGTATTTTCATTCATACAGGGGCAGGGCAGCTATACAGGAACACACACTGGAGTCTGGTATGTGTTTGTGTGAGTGTGTGTTTTAGTTGTGTATCCTCTTTGATTATACAAGAAAGTAATACGTTACTTTTGTTAGTCCTGTATAAGCCTCTGAGTCTTCAAAGGACAGCTATGACTCATTTTCACCTTTTATTATGTCTTCAGTCTTCACCTATGAAGTAGCTTTAAATGATTTGTAGCTCTACAAACTCCTTATTAATCTTAAGGCGGCACCTGTAAAAACCCTCATTCTTGTTGGTTTTCAACTGATGTAAAGTTGGGCTCAGCTTTGGGGTGTTCCTTTATACACAGCTTAAAAGCCACAAAATGACCAAAAAGTTACACTTTCACAAAAGGTGTCTGAGGCCATTTTTTTGCTCACTATTATAATCATAAGCATGACCTTTTCTGGAGTTATAAAGTTGCTTAAACCACTCAGGGGGTGTTAGGTTTTACACACCTATATAGTCATAAAATGACCCCAAAATTACTCTTTCGTTAAATAATTCTCAGGCTTGTTGTTGACTTCTGTTGTCATAATGTGACGTCAAGCTCATGGCTTGGAGCAACACCATGGTTCATATTATTACCTGATACCAGCCATGTCTTTCTAGATTCCTTATCAGGGTAAACTGTACTGTTTTTCCAGAACCCCTCACAGGCACTCATTATAATTAAACTGTTAAAGTCGTTGGACATATGCTAAAGATATACAGCATTGTTTGATAAATGAAAGGTGAATTTCTTTCAAACAACCACAGTTGGTGGTTATCACTGTTGTTAGAAACTGAGAGAAACTATCTTATCTCTTCTTAAATTTCATCCCCTGGTGCTCCACCTATAGTGAGCTCTGCAGTAGTGCCCCAAGAATAAGGTGGATACAAGCTTATTTCTGCTGTGTAACAGTGTTTAACAATGTAACTGCACTGTGGCAAGGCAAAAGAGGAATCTGCATCCACCTCTTTGCAGATGATACTGTGATTTTTGTCAACATTTGGGTGGCAAACAGTGTTTCATACTAACACTTCTCTTAATTTAAACAGATTTTGGATAGAGACAGGAAGACTGTTATTCTTTGTTTAAAAAATATATATTGCAGTTTCAAATACACAGTATCTATACACTTATAGGTGTAGGATCTTATGAATAATGGGTTGGTAGAATCATGCTAACAAGCTGTATCATTCTCATAGAGATCATCAACATCTACACTTTCAGTAACTTATGCTTTCTTTAGAACAAATTAAATTGGTATTATCTTCAAATGTAACGAATTGCAACTTGTCAGACACTCTCCAAATATCCTTAACTAAAGGTAAAATAGCTTTGGTCCCAGTACTGATCCTTGTGGAACACCGCAAGTTACTTTTTACCCACTATGGTTTTAAAAAACAGCTTTAAAATAATAGGGAAATAATAGTTTCAAGCTGAATGAGAGCCAAACTGAAAACTTGTCTCCAAGAAACCCTCTTTGTCTCAGGGTTCCTCTTCTGATAGGACTTTGATAATTCAGTGTTTTCCAATGGAGTGTATTGGGGAAAAAAAGTAGTTATCATGTTACTTATTAATGGTATTATGTGAATATAAATTGCTCAGGCCCCTGGAACCCCCTCAAGGACTTTAAGAACCACTTCGATAAAAGTGGAGCTCTCTTTTTTTCCCTTTACATATCTTTATTCTTTCCACTGGGAGTCTGGAAAGATGAAACTTTAATGGCTCCTATGAGGAGCGCTGGCCTGATCACAGATTTACCCTCTGCATCACAGTACATTACACTGCACTAAAGTTGAGACTGGTAGTCCAGAGAGAGTTATAACTGTGATTCTCCTCAGCCACTCTCAGATATGGAATTGTGTTTTTTCATTTGAAGAAAGCACAGCGTTAAACAGCCTCATTTTGCTGTAAAATTGATTATTTTTTGAAGAATTTGTGGGTTTGCTGCTAATTTAAACAAGAGCGATCAAGGCGGTGAGCTTGCTGGCCTCCATGCAGGGCTGTCACTGAGCACTGTGCACTGTCTCTCCAAGCTCTATTCATTAATTCATTTCTTATTGGGACAGAGATAACAGGATTAGTGCTCCAAGCATCCAGGAGTCAGCAGGGGGGGTGGGGGGGTGGGGGGGACCCTGTAACCCTCCTCCCTCCTACAGACAATGCGTGTGTGTGTGTTTGTGTGTGTGTGAGTGACTGTGTGATTGTGTGGGTGTGTGTTTGTGTCCTTGCCAGATGGGACCAGTGCTTCTTCCAACTTAGAAAAGCATCTCTCTCTCTCTTGCTCTCTCTCATACACACACACGCACGTGCGTGCACACATACACACTCTGCATTCTCCAGCTCTCATCCTCCTTCTGGTTTGCGTCCAATCATCCTCCTCTCACTTTTGTGTTCTGGCCTCCAGCAGTGCTTTGTCAACACAGCCAAATATCACCAAGTGTTTAACAAATACTACCCCAATCCTTACTATCGATTACTGTTACTATGAAGACATTTTCTTACCTCCATGAAGCTACACAGTCAAGTTGCTCAAATAACTGCCATTAAATTATAACAGAGACTTAACTGCAAGGCCATATGGGAATCTTTAAAGCTTATACTTGCAATTAAAACTTAATGGCAGAATAAAAGTTAGGTAACCTCAAGCTTGAGCTCCCATTAATAAGTCTGTTAATGGGGGCTGAATAACTACCCATCAAACTCTCATTTTAATCCATGCTGCTCCTACAAAAACAGACCATCAGAGCATTTACAAGGTTGTTAAAGAAATAGTCAAAGGCACTATCGTACAAGTGTAGAAATGGTAGTAAAGGGACCTATTTGGACTCCGAATGCATACTTTTGTAAGAGAGGGAATGCAGCAGACAGCATGTGCTTCCTCAGTTTAAGCCCCAGTATACACAATGAGATAATCTGACTTTCCTACAAAGGTCAGCAAATGTCTGATCTCCTAATGGTTTATTTCCATCTCGCTGTCCAGTTCAGTTCATTTTGATATGGTAAACCCTGATCTTACATCTTGTTTCCAAAACTGGCTAAACTCTGGCCCTTTTTGCAGTAAGTGTGGTAACTGTACTGTACTGTACTGTAAGACTGGGAATGTGCTCACATCCTTTTTTTTCTGTGCAGCTCCATTTTTTTAAATTATAAGGCGGGTCATGTTTTCTTTGATTGACACTTGATTAGGGCTGAAACGATTACTCGAGTAACTCGAGTAACTCGATTAATAAAATTCCTCGAGGCAAATTATATGCCTCGAGGAATCGTTTAAATCCGGAACCATGTGCAGCGCACGGTGTTTGACACGGACGGTTATTTCTGTTGCGCAGAAGCGTGCTCTTTCCGCTCCTTCCGCTGCCGCGCGTTTGGTTCAGTCATGGAGGGAAACGAGGACAGACAGAAGCTGTGTCCGAAATGGCATACTGCCTGCTATCTACTTACCTACTCAAGCAGTAGCTACTGCCTACTGACTACTCAAAGATGATTTGAGTATGCCGCGGCTGCCCGAGCGTTTACACACATACATACTAAATACCCCAGAATGCATTTCGTGCCGGCTGGACGCAGCGCCGGGAAAATTTAAATAGTCCTACCACAAGCTACATAGAACGACTGCATACCGGACAAATTATATAAATTCATTCAATAATAATATTTTTTCTAGCGAGAAAGTAAGTGTTTACATCACGATTATGAGCCCAGTTGTTTGAAATAGTGGCTGTTTGTAAATTTGTCTCGGCGTTTTCGGAGACCGAAGCGTCCACTTGGTCGGTGTTTGCGTCTATTTACCGTAAACACCGGGCAGCAGCAGCTCCCCCTTCACGTTTCCAAATTATTGCGAAGTGTTTTCATAATCAACATCTACACGACACAAACCGGGCGGCAGTGGATGAAAAAAATCACACAAACATCCGTGTATCCATGGTGATAATGCTATACACCACCTGCTAGGCGTGTGATGAGCAGCAGAGGGCTGCAAAATGACCAACACACAACAACATGTAGATAAAAATGTAACACTTTTATATATTGAATAAATGTACATTTGCTTGTCAAATTATGTTAGTATCCAAGAATTATATTATTTCAGCCTATTAATTAAACAAGTAAAATTAGATCCAAAGCCTGGAAATAGTTGTGACTGGTTTAGTGAAAACTGCAAAGATCATTACCATAGCAATTAAAAGACCATCTGCAGACCTTGCCTTCAGTAGTTTCATGTGAACTACATGGTAAAATGTAAAACTTTTGGTTCCTGATTTATGCAGTAAAAATATTCATTTGAAAGACCTGGCCTATTTCAGTTTTGTGTGTTACTGATGGTTTTTAATGAGGCAAACGTGATTCAATGCAAAGTATTACAGTGAGAGCAAAACATTTCTTATCCGATTACTCGATTAATCGACAGATTAATCGATAGAGTACTCGATTACTAAAATAATCGATAGCTGCAGCCCTACACTTGATACAGCCTATGGGCATTCAGAGGTTGTGTAGCTCACCTGGGGGAAACACTGTTTGAGCAGAGCGTCATCACAGCAACTCTCCTGCTGAATGTGTACAACGCTGCTGCGCAAGTGATGGTTCCAGGAAGCAGAGAAAATCCCGGAAATACAGAAAGCAATCCAGCTTCAAATTCGTATAATGACGGAAGGCGGTCAATCATAGACTGTATACAGTCTATACAGTCTATGATCGCATCTCACCTGCAGCTCACATCTGTCTCATGCACTGACGATGCACGGAATTGAAGGTTTGCAGTGAAGGTATTTTACAATGAGCTGTGTGGAACAGTAAGCTGAGGGCTGCGATGGCTCTGAACTCGCTTTATCAGAAGCCTGAAAATATGATAGATAAGTGGTTCCATATGCTTTTAAAGTCTGTCCCGTATTAGATGAGGAGACATGCTTTTCTAATGAAATTGTGTCTCGGACAGTAACTTAAACAGCGTCATAGGAAAAAGTTTTCATCAATCATGTTGGTGAGTGACCTTGATTATCAGATAAAATCAGATTACAGGAAATATTTCTTCTTGTGCAATCTCCCTCTCTCTTTGCCTTTCGGTTTCAGCTTTATCCCAGTGGGCTGTACATGTGCACACAGACGGCCAATTTTTTACCTGAATCTGGCCAGACTTCTCCTGCCTGACTCCTGGTAAAAGTTTATGGAGGAGTCAGGATGAACGGACCATCTAATCTGAACAGTCAGCAGGTTTACATTTTGTTGAAAAGATTAACAATGCTAGAATAAAAGGAAAAACCAAACTCTACAAAAGGGTTGAACAATATATCATCTGAACATCATAATGTACTGTAGTCACATCACAGGATGTCAGATTCATTGACAGCTATCTCAACACCCTGAGCCCTTTGCTCCTCCAGTAATGTGCTGGTAAAGCTGAAGCCCAGTCATACATAGTATAAACACTATTCTTTACAGTAAAAGGTGGAGTCTCAGAGGTTTGAGGTGTTTTAAATGTGTCATAGAAGAGCTGCTCTGTCTCTCTTTTTGCTCTTTATCGTTCCTCTCTTACAGTAGCGCCTCCACCCCTTCATGCTCCCCCTCTGCTCCCTCCCTTCCTCCCTCTGCTGAGACAGTCTATTGCCTCCTCTCACTGTTACTGTGGAGAAACCAACAGCATGCGTCCCAGGAATGCAGGCACACACACACACACACACACACACACACACACACACACACACACACACACACACTCTCACTCTCTCTCTCTCTCTCACTCACAACCACCCGGTGCCCTGCCAGCTTCGCGGGTCATTGTATCTGGCACGTGGCCACTATCTCTCCTACGTTGCACACATACACACACCAAGCACACACTCGGCCCTTGCCTGACTCCTGGCTTGGCAGACAGCTCCTGCTGAGTAAGGAGGCCCTCGCTTGCCCTCTCTCTTTCTCACTTGCTCTCTCTTTTTTTTGTGCCCGTAGTTTCTTTTCAGACCAAACCTTCTCTCTTTCGATGCTCCCTTTATGTTCACACAGTCGTCTCATTTTATCTCTTCCCACGTTTTTAACATGTTCTCAACCTGCAGACAAGAAGTAAAGCGAAGGCACCACCCTTTTCAAGAACCCCAGCCCCCGTCCAATCAGATCCATCAGGAGGTTTTACTGTCAGCATGGCTTAGCTGCAGTGCATGCTTTTGAATTGACACGTTGTAACTGGATGTGAGGCTTTAACTCTGGCCATTAGTCATGTCTTTACTCCCCTGCTGGCAGTAATGTCTCAACAGAGAAGAATTAGAGGTGGGGCATGGAGGATTCAGACAACTACATTCAGCCTTAAGGTATAGACCATGTTTCACAATCCTCCTCACAGTGACTCATATTAATAACAAACAAGACAATAAGAAGCGGAGTATGGCTCCATGTGAACCTGAAAACGGATTCAGAGGGATTCAGCAACACCTTGGTTAGTGTGTCACAGCCGGGTCCATTGTTGAGACTCTTTCTCACTGAGCATGCTGGCTGTTGATTAAGGGATAAGTATGTTGAATGACGTCTGAGTCATCAGGACAAGCGTTAAGCTGTTTGCTTACGGGAACTGTACAATGACTACTGTTCTGTAAGCTGTATAGATGATAACAGTGTTTAGAGTCCAGGCTGTTCTTCTGTCCTGTCTGAGATAACTTCACTCATAGTCTCATAAAAAAGTTGGTACTGGTATGAGAAATATGGTCACACTCCCTCTGGCTCATTTTTAAGAGCGTTTCGAAATGAAGGAGGTGGAAGTGTTTCATAAGTAAAAGGTTTGGTTGACATGTTGTCCTACAAGAATCCTGTTCAGGCCTTTGGGTGTTTTTCTGTTCAGATGATTGTAACGTTGCTAACTCGCTACTGTTTTTGAAACTGTAGGCTTCTCTAGATTGCCTGAATAAGTGTTTTGGGTGTAGTTGAGAGCCAGAAACAATCTCCCTTCCCATGTTCTTCCATATTTTATTAATAAATGTAAAAAATGGGAACAGTCTTGAAATTTCTTTTGGAATCACAATTCTTAAAATTTTCCTAAAAATGAACTGATATTTTCAAATGTTTCAAACCTTTGGAAAAACTGATGATGTGTTTGAAGTTTAAAATGAAAAGTTTGTTTTGTGAAAAATATGTGCTTGTTTTAAATTTGATGCCAGTAAAAACAACAAAACAAAAAACAGGAATTCAAAAACAACAGCACTACAAAGCCCTTCCAGTAAGACCTCACAATTAATGAAGCTGCAACAAGTCAGTAACATGACTGGGTATAGCAGAAAGGCAGAGTGTCTCAGAAGTAAAGATGAGAAGTGTTTCATTGCAATGTGAGAGACTGTGTTAGCAAATAGTTAAACTATTAAAGAAAAATGTTCTGCAGTGTTAAGTTTGTGGGAGTTTGGTGATTTCAGCATATACAAAAGGTAGTATCACTAAAAGTCTCAGAAAATCTGGAGAAATTTGCCACAAAAAGGGACAAGGTGGAAAACAAATACAGGTTACTGAATGATCATCAGGCCCTGCACTGAAAACACAGTTGACTCTCTAGTGGAAGTTACTGCATGGGCTCAGAAGTTTGTCACTGCATGTACAAATGCTAAGAAAACTACCACCATGAACCAGGAATACAGCAGCACCTCCCATGACCCGGTCTGTGACCCACTGAAAATCATTTGATGCCTGATGTGGTAAAATACAACAAAAGAGATCTCAAACTGTTGAGCAGCTGAAAAAAATGCTTGGCAAAACTGGGAAAACTGGGAAAAGAAATTGACCTTCTCATGTAATTTTGGTAAAAGAAGAGGTGATGAGCCCAATGGGAAACATGGCCCTGTCCTAACTCTGATGAACGGTGCTGCTGGTGTTGAATTTGTAATGAGCCCTTTTTGTAAAGGAATCAAACTGTTGAAATCAAACTCTTAATATGTTTCCCTGTAATATGTTTTGATGAAATATAGGGTATAACCCATCAAAATCTGTTTTCCATCAACATTTTCCATCAAATCCTCAGACTTTTGTTTCAGAATTTGGGTTGTTTTATAAAAATGTTTAAGATGAATGCTCCTATCAGTCTAATAACCCACATGCTGCCATGCATCCCTAATAAATATGGTGATAGGATACCATAAAAAAGATTTCACACCTTTTTTTAAATGCAGTGTGTGAGTGAGTGATTTCTCAGATATAGTTTGAGAAGAAAAAAGGTGATATATTAAAACACTGTACACATTTAATTTTAAAGCAACAATAAACTATTTTATATTTGACTTTTAGTAAAAACAGTGGGCTCCCCTCTAACATTCATCATCATACTAATACTTTTCCAGCATTTTGAGCAAAATTATACATGTCTCTTCTGATGAAAACTGAAACTGTATAACCCAAATATATGAGGTTTTGGAGAATCACCAGAGTATTGCATAACACAGTGTTTCAATACTGGACTGTATTTACATGTCTAATTCCACACACAACCTTCTGTATTGATTTTTCTCCTGAATCACCCACCCAAGTGTCTTCAAAGCCAGTTCTGGATACTTTGAGAAAACGTGGTGACTGCTCCCTGAGTCCACTCTGCTCTGGTCTACGTGCCACGTCTCTAACAGCTACAAATATCTGTAATTTTCTGCATTCAAACTGATGCTGCATGGAGGATGATAAGCTTCAGATCTGTGTGGTGACAGTTTTAATCAGCAGCTGATCACACAGAACAATGCTCTTTTGTTTGGGAACAATGTCTTTCACAATGCTTTATCTGTTTCTCAGTGGGTGGCAGTTTGGCGCTGCACTATCTGAATTATGTAAAACGTACGTCAAGATGCACAGCCTGCTGCTGAGGTTGTCTTGATTATCCATGTCTGGGATTGTCATGCTGTTCAGATAAATATAACCCTAATTTTAAATTGAAGACGCAGTTGTGAGCTGGATTGTAGAAATAAGGGGAACATCTCAGTGTTTTCTGCATGATTGGATGGGACTACAACTTGTGAGGCCTTGAGGTTTAAATCAGTTTTAGCCAATCAACAGACCCTGCTCTACACTCGAGGTAAAAGCATGTCCAAAATATTGTTCCAGCTTCAACCAAAGTGGCCAGCTGAGCCTCGTTCAAGTCCCTCTCTGTTTCTTCTCCCGCTGTTGTTCTGGGGATGACAAGAAGATCCTGTTGTGTTTCTATGGTGTCGCCTGGCGCTGCCTCCATTCAACAGGATCTGATGAACACAACTTGTTTTAAGTATCAAACCTCTCCATAGCTCAGCTCTCCTTTATACCTGAGAAGAGAGGGAGAAAACCTGTGTGTAGATCTGTGTGTGCCTTAAGGTCTGTGTGTGAGTTTCATTGTCATGCCAAGGACAAGCGGGTCCGTCCCGTGCCAAGTGGTGCCAAGCCAGCTGGCTGTCGCTCATGCTTTTGTTTTGTGCTGCGCTCTGTATTCAGCCCACAGCACACATTGTTGTGAAGAGCCTTTTCGCCTGCTCTACCTCACTCACTCTTCTTTTGTGTGTGTGCACAAGAGTGTGTGTTTGTTGGTGTGTCAGTGACCTTGATGTGGGGGGAAAACTACAAACAAGAGTGGGCCAGTGCGAGAATGGAGAGAATGTGAAAATAAAAGGTGCTGCATGTTATTACCTTTTTAATATTCACTGGTGTTTGACTCTGCTGGACTCACAGTCTCTGGTTTTCTTCTGCTCACACACTGATGAGGTGAAGGGCCATTGCTCAGCTTTGTGGTGGAGTCCTGTTAATGACTACGCCACCTTGCATCTCAAATGGGATTTTCTCCCGCATGCTGTGGAGGAATCCTGTGAGGAGGAAAAAAATTCAATCAGTCATAAGATTTATTATTTGATCTAAAGTGGACTTTTTCCTCTTGAATGTGCATTTGAACAGGACTATGAAGCCACAAGTATTTTCCAGATTTAGCACTGTTAAAAAAAGTTCTAACTCCATTCAGACGTCATAGGAAAGATGCTGCAATCATACCTTTTGTCTTTTTCTTTTGGAACCGTTCACTTGCTAAGAAATCTTTTGAATATGTTTCTGGTAAATAGACAAGCTGCAGGGATCAATTTCTTTCTGTAGCTACCTTCTTAAAACACTGTACATAAAAAGTATAGTTCATGCATAACTGAGGGCAATGAAGCTAAGTTTAGTGAGCTAAAATGCACTTTCATTGATTTTCTGAACTTACCATGTCTTACTTTTATCATATATGTTAACAAAGAAAAGAATAGGACAGTAGCATTTGAAAATTAGCATCTGAATTTTGTCACTGCTCATTAGAGCATCTCTGCATGCAGGTGAGAAAATGTCTGCAGAGTAGCAGTGACTCCGACCGATTGGTCAGCAGCTGCTGCTGCTGCTGCTTTGTGTTTCTTTAATCAGTTTTGTTGCACTCATAACTTTAACGCTGATTTTAAAGATTTGCTATGCTGAAATAAAGGACATTTTTACATCTCTCAGGATACTTACAGCCCTTGCTCCGGTGTAGCCGTGTTTGTTCTTCTCTGCATGTAATGGCACAGTGAGTTGACTTGTTCAGAGCCGCTAATGTTGTTAACTATTATTGGCTGATTTCAGATAATCAACTGAATTCTTGGATTAAATGTTCCTGTTAATTATTGAACACTTGGGCCCTGATCCAAAATTTGTAGACCAATGATGCCACTGGACACCACAGTTAACTGAGTACTCGCTGGATGCCTGCACACAAAAGCATTGGTAACAGTATGATATACACAGTGTAGCTTTAAAGACATCAAGGTCTGCAGTACATGTAGTTAATTTTTCATGTTTCGTTCATGTCTACAGTTTAAGCCTGATGTTGTTTATGATTTTGCCCAAATGGGTCCTGTGTTAGGGTGTGATGAACCAGGAAAGAGGGAGTCATGTGAATGTCAGTGTCTGTATTATTTTTTACCAAAGTCACAGTTCTCCAAAGAGTCACCACCTACATTTAAAAAGTTACATACTGTGAATTTTAGTTGCATACCTGTGAGTTAGAAAAAGAAACCTTTGTGTCCATTGTTAGCTCTCGTGTGTTCTTGATGAGCTGATCTTGACCGTTATGTAATGCTCATGTTTGTGTATCCTTTTCATTCAACTGTGTAAAAGTTTGGCAGAGCTGTTTCAACATTGAGTGACTCAACTGACTTGAAGTGCAGAGGAAGAAAGTGGGAGTCTCTGAAGATGTGGATTGGCTGGTCTTCCTGCTGTGTTGGTCAAATTATCGGTGCTCATGGTAGCTATGAGGACATGTTTTAAGTGTATTGTCATGAATATTTATACAAGAGCCCAACCCTTCACTAGCCCCTCACCCTCCCACCTCCTGCAGCCTTATGTGTCCAAAGCTGTTTTGAAATCTACATAATTTGGGTTTGAAGTGCCTTTCAAATGGCCTTCCTTGTTTCACCACTTAGCAGAAATAAGAGGAGACACACTTATTAATCAGGCCCTTATTGTGTGTGTGTGTGTGTGTGTGTGTGTGTGTGTGTGTGTGTGGTTGATAGATAACTACAGAGGAAAACCCACAGTGGAGAAAGAGATGGGAGATGGAGTGTGAGTGAGGCAGGGGAAACAAAGTCACAAACCCAGAGTGTGTTTGAGAGTACAACATTAAATAGGATGAGAAGGAGGCACGTTGTGGTTTAACAAAGCAAAACCAGTTGGCAGCCACTGGCGAGATGTTGGTCAACCACAAATCAAACTGCCACAGCGGTTTTGAAAAACAAGATTTCCAACTATTGTAGTAACACTGATGCATTAAACCGTTCTCCATCCTGTCTACTTAGAGAGGCAGTCTGGGTTTTTGTCATATTGGGCAAGAGGGAAAACAGGATACATTTTGGAGGTAGAATTCATGTTGTCCTTGCTGAAGATGAATGTCATTCTCCATCTGAAAACTAATAGCATTGCCATGTGTTTCATACTGGAACAGAGTAAATGTATTTAAATGAGTCCCCACTCATTGGGATATGCTCTCTCCTTACCAGAATAAAGAATCTCTGAGTAAAAAATCCCAGGTCAACACTGCAATAACAGACTGTCATTATGCCTGATCTGCTTTATGACATCCCGCTAAGTCTAGTTGGTGTTCAGTCCCAGTATCCACGATTGCCAGGCTGTATCACACTTATTCAGCAACACTATTACTTTTCAATAAGTAATAGTTGTCCTTATCCTTATGGAGCTCCCATACCTGGTTGTCTCACTAATTGTTAACCTTCAGATTTGCTGTTAAATCCTTTTTCTGCTTTGTAGGGCAGCTCTGTCTCAGTGGTACAGTTGTCCATCCTCAATCAGATGGTTTGATTCCAGGCCCCTATGTCCACATGCCCACATTAGTACATTTAAGAATAGATTTATAGCATTAGCCCTACTGAAACTGGACTTAAAATATACATCTAAGCACATTAGTCTAACTGAAATCAAATTTCTTAAATTAACATACCTTGATAATGAAGTTGGGAATCCGTTTTCTCCTCCATCTTGAAAGCTCAATATGATTGAAACTGGCCTGAGCATTCTGGGCATTCTTCAGAGATCACATGCCAGGCTTCAACCCAGAAGTTGAATAAATGTGTTGCTCAGAAGCCATGTAGGAAACAAAACCAAAACAAAAGACAGGAGGACATAAAGAAAGACTGTTTGCCATTTGCCAATGTGATTGTGAATGGTTTGATATAATTGTAGGTCAACCAGCATAGTAGTAACAAGCAGAGAAAAGGGCATGTGGCCTCCAGCTGTAGCCGGGGTTGACATGTTTCTGTCAATGTTTCAGTTCTTGTGCGGTGCTTGTCAGCTGGGACAAGGACATTAGTCCAGTTAAATCGTGTGATCCAGCTATTGCTGTAACATGACTTCCCTGTGCATGTTAACGTACTGAGTGTATGTAGGCAAGACTCTTAACCCCAGACTACTCCTGGTGGCTGTGTCAGTGGTGTGCGAATGGGATTACTTAACATTGATGGGCTTTCAACTGCAGCCTCTGCCATCAGTGTATGAATGTGGTGTGTTTAGAGTGTCAGAAGTCTGGAGAAGGCCCCGTATTAATACAGTACATTTACCATTTGTCATTCATTCTTGGGTTAATTAGACAATTTTCATTTAGGTCACAATTGGTCAAACACATACATATTTGAGTGGATGTGGGGCACACTGTTGACAGGTTCTGTCTTAAAAAAATCTAGAAGCAGCAGATGTAACATCTTCCAAAAAAAACAAAAACAAATACAATTTGAACAATGGAGGACCCAGAATTGAGCCCTGAGAGACACCACAGGAGCTTTACCCTCCTGTAAGCTGAAAAAATGTTGCTGATTTTGGGTCGAATTAGAAGGATAAGATACCAGTTGTACTGCGTCTTAACTGGGAACATCAATATTAAAAGCATGCAAAGAGGTTTATGATGAGTGATGCATAGACTATATTTGATTGCCAGCAGTTGAATAGAGTTTTGAGGCTGATTTAAACCTTACCTTTTTAGTCTAAACATGCTTCATGCAGTAATGTCCTCTGGTTTCGCAGACATTATCCACTACTTCTTAAATTGCCATTTTTCAAGTTGTTAGAATAAAAATATTGCATTGTGTAGCTTTATTCACCCTCTGTACTTTAATAATCCTCTGCTAGTTTAAATGAAATTTCAAGCACACATGCTCAGACAAAGAAAAAAAAAATGCACAAACTCAAATGCACATCCACACAACTGTAGCCCCAGGGTTGTTGTTACTAGCCCTTCATTGTCCATACAGGGGGGATTGGAGTGCTTGCATCACTGTTGGTTCAATCTCAAGCTGTCCCTGCACTGTGTGAATCCAGGCGATTGTGATAGGCAGGGATGTGTGTGCGAGTGACTGTGTGTGTGTTTATGTTTGCATGGTGCTGTACAGGGAGAGGCCGTTGAGTGCATCCTGATCCCCCCCTATCTGTCCTATATAATCCACTCAGTGATAAATGACAAAGATACTTATGAAAGAGGAAAAATATCCAGACAACATGCTCTAAAGTGTAGTGTATGGGAGGTGGACAGAGTGGATGGGGAAATGGAAAAAGAGCAATTTAATGACTGAATGGAGTAAGTGAGAGAGTAGTCTGCCTATCATTGTGTCCATCCAAAAGGTCTCACTCCCTCTCTCTCCGTGTGTGTGTGTGTGTGTGTGTGATTGAATGAATGTCTAGCAATTGGAAACCTTTTCTTTTGTAAACTTAAGTCTCTGCCAGAGAGCATTGTGGAGCATTGTTTACCAGCCCCCCCTTCTTTGTTCTGCCTCTGTGAGTGTGTGTGTGTGCGTGTGCAGTATGTGTGTCCCTGTGTGACAGTTGACATTATCAGATGATTGCTCCCACGGCTCGTCTGTGTGTGTGCACACGCACACGCTTGCCTGTGTGTAGTTACGTACATGACAGCTGACATTATTGGATCCCCACTGTTGTGTGTGTCAGCTGCATGTGTGTGTTGGTTGACATTATTGGATAATTGCTTGTGTGTGTATGTGTGTGTTTGTGTGTGTTCTTGATTATTTTCCATTCAGACAAGGCCTGTGGTTTAAAAACAGGCTGCTCTAATGGTTTTAAATCAGAGTTGCAGTGTTGTTTAACCTCCTGCATCACTTCTTGGTACAGCGTGTTTTTGGCTGAGATAAACTAACTGTAACTAGGGTTTTGTCTCACTGCAGGTCAACAAGTTCAAGTCAAGTCTGTTGACTTTTAAAACCTGTTTAATGTTGCCTGCCTGCTGTAACTTGTTTCAGCCAATTGAAATTCTGATGCTTTTCCACACATGCATCCCATAACAGATTTCAGGACACCCTGTTTCAGAAGTTTTGCAACAATATAATTTGCACATGTTGCTCTCATGTAGTGATGCAGTGGTTGGTTTGTGATCTGTTATGACCACCCTGTACTGTTCGGACTGCACACGGTTCAAATTCGCAGCTAGCTTTGAGTGTTTTTAGTGCTCTTGCCTGTTTCAAACCCGCATGAGAAAGATGTCCATCTGTGTGTCGGCTCTGCTCCTGCATGCTCAAAATCTGTGAGTGAAGGAAGTGAAGAGTGCAGGTGCCAGAGTTAATTTCACATAAAGGGGAAATCAAGACAATAAACTGTTTTTGCTGCACCAAGAGGGGTGATTTTCATTATACTTGCATTGCCCACACAAAAACATTTTCCGATACGTCATGCTGTCAGGATAAAGAAATGAAACAAACTCATGCACATGCACAGTTATGTTGAGCTGCCATCATAGCTTGATTAGGTGATTCAATTGGACTTTTGTTCTCGCAGCAATACACAACCACCAGGTGAGCAGTGGCTTTGTCTTTTAACTCTCTTCTTCTTTTGTTGAGGTTTTGTTTACTACCCGCCATTCTTTCAGGGCAATTATGCTGTTTGATATCTAGCTGTGAAAACACTCAGGCCGGTTTGGGTGCAATTGAGTTGTACATGTGCAAAAAAAAATGGATCCTGAACCACATTAATAAGTATGTGAGTCCAACAACAAGAATACACTCATTTAGGGCTGTAAAGTCCTGGTCGACTGGTCAACTCATTGGTTGATTCGTGCTGAGCCAACCAAAATTCTGATTGGTTGACTTGATTTCTTCTTCAGCGTCAATTTACAGTCTATGGTTAATTTCATCAGGAGGCATGTACCAAGTGCTAATGGGGGTGTTTTCAGAGCACCCCCATTTCAAAGGCCTGTCTCACAACACCCCCCTTGTTTTCACTATTTTGGATTCATCCAACCCACTGGAGACAGAAAGATTGAAGAGCGTCCACGTCAACGTCTGGTGGTTTGCTGAATATAATTGTGTTTAATTGCCTTCTTGTGATGATATCAGTATATTTTTACCCCGCTGAGCTGTGCTCCACTGAGCCGCGCTGTACGGGTTTGGCGTCACAGTAGAAAACACCACCCACCCCACCCCACCCAGTTGTTTTTGGTCAAAAATTTCAGGGTTTCAGTCGACCAAGAATTTCTTTGGTTGATTACAGCCCTACACTGATTGTGACTAATGTCAGTCTCACATGAGAGCATGTATGTTAGAAGTCCAGTCTGAGGTGGACCAATTTAACCAATGGATTGTTTACATATAGAAGATGACTTTAAGTTGAGTTGATTCCTAATTCACTGTTTTATTGAGTGTATGTTTCTCAACAGTTCAGTATAAAAGTAATATTAGATATAACTTATCATTATAGAATAACTTTATCTTTGTTAAATAAGACTTTTCTGGGATGGCGTGCAATTGGCATGGTGACTCTTTGTGCCTTTCACTGTAGTTAGAGTCATGGCTTAGCAAGGAGCTGGAAGGTTAAATAAATTAATAGATAAAGTGTATTTTATCTCTCTATTGGTTTTTGGTCCATCCATGAACCAAAGTGAACCAACCAGAGAGATTTGTGATCCTATAAACAAAGTTGAAGGTCTACTTTTAGTAATGGGTTTTCAAGTTGAAGAGGAGATACGACTGGAAGATTTAATCGCCCTTGAGGCAGATGTTTTATTTTCCCCCATTCAGAGTGTTTATAAAATGAACTGAAGGACTCACTGGTCACTCTGCAAAGTTATTCATAAAAAAAGTGGACTTGCACATGTTTGACTCATTCAACTGCTGGGTTCATCGCTCATGTTTCATTGCTTTAAACTTGGTCCTGTAGCAAATAGAGTTTGTGGTGCAGTGACAGATTCCAATGAATATTTGAAATAACTGAATGAACCTTCACTGGCATAAAGCTCATTTGATTAAGCTTGATCCCGGCTTCAGACTGCAGGTTCAATGGTGTAGCATGTCTGTTAATGTGGCTTACATCATGGACAGCCTGTTTTAGTGTTAGATGCTTTGAGAGCTTTAGTTATGTTGTGTTTTTATAGTCCAACAAGTTCAGAACCATCTCCACTCTTTTGTCCTGCTACCTCATGTTCATTTCATCAGCTATCGTGTGTTCACATCCATCCTCCCCCTCCAGCAGCTCCTCCACAAGGCCTCCTGGCTGCTGCCTGCCTGCCTGCCAGCCGCCTCTCACCCATTGTGGGCTAACAAAGGCAGGCGAGGCCCCAGCCTCAAGGCCTACAGCCTGGTTCTTGGAGGGGGCTTCAGGGTGGGCGGTGCTTTGGGGAGGAGGGGTGTGCTTGCCCACAAAAGGGAGGGGAAGCTAGGGGGGTGGAAGCCAAGAAAAAAGCAGGTCACGCCCAGATTAAAATTCAATGTATTGCCTGTGTATGACTGTCTGCCTACGTCAGCAATCTGGCCTTGGTGCTTCATGTGAGTGTGGGTGCAGGAAGCAGAGAGGCAGCAGGGATTGGAGAGTCTCAGGGTTTCTAAGGTGGATCACCAGAGGAGGAGGAGGAGGACAGCTAGAAATAAGAGCGGGAGTGACAGAGGAACATGTGGAGAGAGAGAAAAATGTGTGTGTGGAGAGGAAAAAGGAGGAGGTGGTAATCAGAGTGTCTGGCTCCTTCATTGCTCTACTTCAACTGTTTGAGCCCAACACACCTTCAGGGTGTGTGTGTGTGTGTGTGTCTGTGTGTGTGTGCGCGCTTTTGGGAGGGGAGGGAGTCTTCTTAATGGGGCTGCAGTAGCGTCATAATGCATGCAAGACAAAGCTGATTTGGTGATGCATGCTTCCTTTGTGTTGGTGTTACGTTTGAGGGGGGTCTCGGTAATACACACACACACAAACACACACACACACACAATCCAATCCGCCTCTGTTTTGGGCCCCATCCCCATATGGTGGCTTGGCTTGATGAGAGCTTGATGAAGTCAACCAGAAGTCCCCCACCCTTCTGTGTGTGTGTGTGCCTGCATGCGTGTGTGTATGTGCAAATCTGTGATTGCTTTTCGGCTAATGGATAAATGAGAGTTTCACCCTTGCAGAGCTTTTGTGCGTGCATGTGTGTGCGTGTGTGTGTGTGCATGTGTGTGCGTGTGTGTGTGTGTGTGTGTGAGAGAGAGAGAGGAGCATGGGTGGATCGTCAGCTTGTATATTGGCTTGCAAGCTGTTTTCATTATATTTCATTATTCATGTTTCATGCATGATTGTGCAAGGGGAGCAATGATCAGCTCTGCAGGGGCGAAGGCTAATCAGGGGCGTAAAGGTTTCTAAACTCAGACGTGCAGACGGTCCAACTAAACCTCAAATGTCACAACCTTTGCAGCAGACAAAATATTTCCCAGAAAGAAGAGGCAAAAAGAAAACACAAAAGAAAACCCACAGTCAGTATTTATTTTCAGATTTGAAGAGACGTACAGTGCCAGCAGGGATTGAACCGAGTCCGCGTCTGCTGCTTCTTTTGTTAATATGAACCCGGTGAGACTAGCTGTTTCTATGGTAGAGGGGCAACCAGATTAACCAGTAAACCAGCAGCATTTATTTTCATGTCCCTGGGTAGGCTGAAAATCCAAACAGTGAGTCACCTCAAGCATATCTAAAATTCCCATCTAAAATTAGCTGAGGTCATCGCCTGCGAATAAGCGCCGAGGAAGTATCTCTGCAGCTTTGTTTGTCAGGAATAAAGCCCAAGCACACAAGGAAATATTGATAAAGTATTGTACAAAATATCAGAAAGTTGCTAAATCCCTCAAACTGTGTTTTTGCTAATTTCATGCGCCCCTGCAGTTTTTAAAGAGTGCATCACCTGCTTTGCGATCCAAAGGTCAAGAGTTCTTCCTCTCAAAGGTCCCTGGAGTAACTTTTGTTCACTCTTCAGACATGAATTCTGCTGCTTTCATCAGATGTTTGCTTTCAGCTGCACACTAAACAAAAAGCTCTGATTAATAAAGCTGGATTTGTGCTTCAAAATGTTCAGCTTTGTGCTCGATTGTGTTTGTGCACAAACTACAAATGCGGGGCTTTGTGCTTCCTTCCTCTGTGTGTTTGTACACAGAAAACGCCGTCAGAGTGAGCTTTTTCTCTTCTCCTTTATGTGTTTTGTTGCCACCTCGCCGTTCCTTGTGTTGTGTCCGCCAACTCAGAATGGAGCCATTTTGTCTCCTTCAGTTCCTGAAATGAAATATAAGCCTCTTAAATGCATACTTATCTTGCCCTGCAGACTGTGCTTCAAGAACAAACACACACATGCCTGCATGCACACACACACACGCTTACACACTTGCTAAAGAGGCATTGTGATGCCAGCTCTTGTTGTTCCTAAGACGGCGGCTGCATGCATGTGGCAGATGGTTGTTCCTTTTTTGCTTTGCATGCCGCCATATTAAACAAAAAAAGCACAGCTAAGGCCACGGCTGGTTTAGGAAAAGGGCAAAGTGCGCGAGAGACGGAGAAAGACGAGACAAAAGAGCAGCAAAAGGAGAGACAGAGACAACAGGCTGGGCATACGCAACACAAGCAGGAAATCCATGTGTGTAGATGTGCATATGAGAGCGTAACCACATTAACGCTGTAGGCACTGCTTGCACAGATGCAGACTGACACACATTCTGCTCAATTTGCACAAAAAATTAACCAGAATCCTAACAACTGATGCAGATGACTGAGTTGCTATGCAGGGAAAGAGCTCAACATGTAGCTGATATCATGTTTTGTGTGTTTTTGTGCGTTCATATATAAATATGTGTGAATTTCTATCTAAAGCTCTTCTTTAGATCATTTGAGCCGAAATTCAGAGCAGTGACCTTTAGGAACTGTCTGCCTCTTTCATATGTTCTGATGTTGGTGTGCGCGTCCATATCACTGAATGCCTCTGTCTTTCTTTCCTAGAAGGCGGAGTGCCATTCCACTGACATTTCAATCATCCTCTCAACTTGCCCATGCACACTCTAAATCCCAGTTTTTCTTCTTGTTCTGGCAGCAACAGCGAAATTAATCTCTGTAAAGTCTCTTGAAATGTATATAATCTGTGAAAGAGAAAGCACAGATGAAGGCTGCTAGAACCCATGATCATACAAGCTGCAGCAGTTTCAAACATTGTTAGTGCCTTTGCTATGCTAACATCAGACTTGTGCTGTCCATGGCTCAGATTCCCAAGCCGAAGAAGCAGGAAAAATGCTGCCATCGAAAAAGAAAAAAAAAAAACCTAAATTATGAGATGAGTCCATCTATTTCAAGACTCAGGGCATTTGTCTTGAGCATATATTACAGAACTTACAGCTGACAGTGAAGTAAACATTGATTTTCTGCCAACCAGTTTGCATTTCCAAACTAGTTGCATGATTAAGATAACGGTCCCGAACATTACAGTTAGTCCTTTGAGCTTATGAGTAATAGTTTAAAGTGACGTTTTACAAGCTGTCTGACCAGTTAAACCAATATTCTGTTTATCAATAACATCTTTACAATAGATGTAAGAACTAAAACCTGACTGGTTTCAGCTTTTCTTTTAAATCCAGTTTTATAATGATATAATCAGTGTAAACAGACACTGCACCTCACATTATTGTGACATGTGAAGCCTAAATACCACCTTGAGACCACCAAGTCTACGCTCAGCCCACAGCTGAGTGTCCTATCTGTAAACATGGAGGAGATGTGGATTAAGACTAGTCTGCTTCTTTGTGCTGATGTTTTGCTGGTAAACAGACAAAATATGATTAACAGTCAAGAGGCGAACTGGTTAGCAAAGTATTTCAAACTCCTGTTTTGGCTGCTCTTTTACAGCTTTGAATTGATATCGTGGGGAAAAAAAAAGATAATTAAAAGTCCTTCCAGATTTAAAACATAGTCATGATTATCTTGACTCTAACTCATTTTAAACATGGCTTTTTAGTCAAGTTTTTTTTTCTTTTTAAATCTGCACATGCATGTTTGGCTTTGTGTTTTAATTGATGTTTTCATACAAATAAAATTCCTGACAGTTAAAGTTCTTGAAGTAGAAATTAAAGTCGAATTTGAATAATTTCTATGATCAGAAATAAAAAGGCAGACTTTTTCGTACCTTCCTGATAGTGTAGATGTTGGTCATGTTTGCAATGTGGTTCATGCTGATTTGAAAGGGTTATTTCTTTTCTGCAGAAATGATCATCAGTGTCATCAGGGGTATTGTTTGATGTGAGGTGACTCACATTTTCTGTTGGACATTTGCATAGCATTGTATCTTTGCAGATGCCTCCATTCTGCTGTCTTTGCACCTGACTGCTTCTTGTGCTTTTGTTGCTCCTTGTTTGAACTCCTCACTATATCTGGCGTCAAAGCTTGAGTCTTATCCATGGAGAAAAATTAAAACAGGAAGTTTTCCAGGAGACAGTGAGTGTATGCTTTATCACCTTCAGGGGATTGACATTGCTCAGTGTTTGCAGCTTGATAAATTGCTTCTGCTTGCCTCTTTGTAAGCGTGGCCAGACAAGGCCGCAGCACAATAATGCCTCTACACTGCAAACAACGGGCAGGAACATAAAAACACGGTCTCCTTATCTCTAATTTAGCCTTGGGTGAACAGGGTTTACACACAGTGGAGAAAGGACAGCTCCCGTGTATGACACACAAACATACCACGGCCCTCAACTTAGCTCCAGCAAGCATTTCTACTCTCTGGATTTTTCAGTTTCACATCCTCTTGCAGAGCTGGAAAGCAGTATTTGTAGCTTTTCTCTGTACATAATCACCTTTATTCTTGGGTTGCAAACACTCACAATCGCATGGATCGACCAAATGACCCTCCATTAATACCAGATTGTATGCAGGCTGTGAACTGCACCCCTTTGGCTTTCAGGCTGTAAAGCTTGCCTTCTGATTAGACAGGTGAAGTTCCTGATTGAATCTCAGACGCCACCAAGCATGAGGTGCCATATCTGTCACTATCTAGACATAAATATCTGACTTCAGAATTTGTTTACAGGAGAATGGCCCCATTTAATACTGAGAAATCTTTCTTGTGCATTCTTTAAGTAAGGTTTTATTCATATGACAACAAGGAGCTGTATGCATCTCATCTTAGGCCAGCTTTTGGTGCTACAACTAGGTATTGAATCACACTAAAAACACCTCATACCTGCACAGACAGGCATTCTTTAACAGAGAGGTAGGTTCAAAGAAAGAGAAGGACCAATAACCAATAACTTTATGTGGAGGAGCGTCAATAAATGCAGTAGTTCAGCGAAACATTTCTAAGTAGTCAGCCTTTGTTAGTTTTTGTCCCCCTGCTCATACATGGCCGTCTGACTAGGAGTGTATAATACACAGTAGTGTACTCAGGGTGGGGGATCGGGTCTGAAAAAAGCCTACTGGATGTCCTTTCAGTGGATAATATCTACAAAAGTGTCCTTTGGCGCCAGCACAAAAACATGCAAAAAGGGACCCTCTCCCTTTTTGCATGTTTGTGTGTCTTCTGAATGCATTTCTCATGAATAAGATCTAATAAAAGATCCCTCTATATGCCCTTCCTGTGGGGAAAAAAAAGTGTAAAAGGGACTATCTTGATGCACAGCTAGCAAATAAATTCTAAAAAAAAAAAAAAAAAAAGAGAAGAAGAAGAAGAACATCTCTCCACCACATCCTCCACTTAGTCCAGCTTCAGTCCTACCACAGAGCCAGACTTTTTCACCACTTTGTTAAGACGTCTTGCATCTTTGTGTTTCATACTTCCTCAACAGACTGCAGCGTACAGCAGAACACTTGCCACAACACACCGATAAAACATCTGCAGCGTCTTACTACAGATGTCTATTGATCGGAGTTTTCTCAGGCAAAAATGCGGCTCTGCCAAGAGGTGCCCTTTGTGTTTCTGTCAGCCCTCGCCCTTAAACAGCATGAATACACCCCTGTTAATATCCATGTGTATGAGGTGTTTTTTTCACTTGTTTACATACATTTTTAGGAACAAGCAAGCCTAATGGTGCTCCTTTCTCTCACAGTTTTTCTCTTTTAGAAAAACAGTGTCTTTTCAAAGCATTCTACCCCTCCTCCATCTCAATCTTTTCCCTCCACTTCCTTCATTTGTCCTCCTTCGCCACCCTTTGCTCGGTCAGGTTTGGGAACTTAGCACATACACGTCAGCTTTTTGCCAATTTCCTCTGCTGTCAGCTCTGTCAAATCTGCAGTTTTGCCCCGTTCTTGTAGTTTCCACTGTGACACCTCAGCTGAAAGGGACTTGATTAAACCTTTCTCTCTCCTCTTTCTTTCTTTCTCCCCTTTTCTCCTCCCTCATCTCGCTGTTCTCTCCTCCCCCATCGCGACAGAATGGAGCAAATCAGGGAATCAATTCAATGTAATCATGACAAATGAGTCCCGGCGGTTAGCAGGGATTTTTTGTGCGTGTGTGTGTTCGGGACAGGGCTGCTGGGAAATCACAAATGAATCAATCAGCTGTTATCGCATCAGCAAACACTGCAGGAGGGAGGGATGGAAGGATGGATGGATGAATGATGGATGGACGGATTGTCAGAGGGGAGGAGAGGATTCAGTGTACTCTATGTGTGTGTGTGCATGCGCACGTCTGTTGTGCAGAGATAGATGGCTGATTGAATACAGGGCCATGTGGGTGCCTGTCTGTGTGTGAATGAGAGCGAGCAGGGGGGTGCTGTGTAAACCTTGGAGCTGTCAGAACAGATGGGAGATGGGAATGGCCGCAGGCTGCAAGCGATGTGTTGGCTGCTGGAGGAAGATGAATCCTGCGTTTGGCTGCTTTTGGAGAGGGGGCAGCGAGATTAGAGAAAAATACAGCGGTGGTGGGATTTTCTGTGTACTGGGTGTGTAACTGCTAAAGACAGTTTCCTGATCAAAGTTAATATTTCTTAGCAGTTTACAGTGAGCGAGACAAAGTCAGTGTTTGTATGTTGCTGCTGAGAGCTGCATTTATGATATTGTGCAAATTTAGAATTTAAAGCTCCTCTGAGAAGTTTTTTGATATTTATCAAATAGACTCAAATTCATATTGAGGCCTTATCATGATATGCTGAAACAAATAAGACCATCAGAAATCAGCAGGAGCTTTAACTAAATAATTGTGAACAAGTTAAATAGTTGAACATGTGAGTGTTCCTGGTAGAGCCTGGCCTTAATGACCATTTTAGGCTTATAAAACACCAATTTTAGAGTATTGGACCGATTTGCAATAATACTTACATGTGGTGGGAAAAGCTGTTTTGATTTTGATTATGCACCAAATGTTTCCTTGTCGTGACACTGCGAAGGTTTCAGGAGGTGCCTGTCTGAATCTAAAACTGTTTCAAGAGTATTTTACATTGTTGTACTGAACATTTTCATTAGTTTAGTGGCGACCACCATCAGCAGTGGATGCTAATACCTACGTTGTAGACAATGCTGAAAGTCATGTGGATTGATGAGTCTGCAAACAAACTATGACAAGGGATTATTCACCATCTGCACCAGCCCAAGGGTTTCTTTCTGCAGCTTCTGCTCTGTTTAATACAAGTTTTAGATTAAAAAGGTGTACTGATACAAATACAATGCATCTATTTGACTCAATTCTGTGGGCAAACAGCAAAATGTTAAGATCCCTCAATAATTGTATTGATATCAGTAAAAAATCAACAATCCCCATCCCCGCATTAATTCCTGTTAAAAGCCCTAAATCTTTGTTTCATACTTAGGCATGTGCCGATATGAACAATTTTATATCACGATATTGGTGGCCCAAAATATCACGATTCACGATATTATCACGATATTAGCGCGTTGCTTTTAACATTAATAAAAATGGCAAAAAAACTGCGAAATCACTTCTCTGTCCACAGTATGACACGCACAAACAATATGAGCAAGAGGCAGCTAACGTGACATTGGGAGCATTAGCTTTTTGGAGCTAAAGTTAGCTGAAACGTCATGTTGTCAATAATGAGCAGTAAAATAGACCAAACTTGTTGCGGTCATGTTGTTTTTACCTTGATTTGGGCAAACGATGCTGGATGGTGTTCACAGATGTGGGCACGTAGGTTTGAAGTGTTAGACAACAGCGCTGCAACTTCCTTACGGCATAACCTGCAGATTGGTGTCAGGTTTACCTGCTCCATCTGTTTTGTGAAGCTGTAAAATGTCCATACTGCTGACGAAACCTTTTTAATAGGAGGATACAGCTGAGGCGTTTCATTATTCTGAGTCTCCAACTGTTCTTGGTCCGGTGTTATGCCGTAGAATGCACCCCTGATTTCATTCAGACTATTCAGATAAGCCGAAAACAACAGCCCTCTGATTCGGAATATTTGCTGTCCCGAAGATATAATGCTCTCTACCATGACAGCTTACTGTACAGTTTATGTACCCAAGTACACCTCTATATGAATTTTGGGACACATAAAAACAGAACGAAAGTTTGCTGCTCCATTTGACATCCTGTCATGATCCAATACTCTTGTTTTTTATAATATCAGACCATATCTCCTCCACTTTAAGACGCTAATGAGCAGATGGGATGCATTGTGGACACGCTTCAACAGTGCTTTGAGTGGCCGCAATGCATTGTGGGTGGCCACGCATTTTGTTGTAAAATTTCTTCATTTTCTCTTTAAATGTTCCCGTTTTTGTTAGGCTGGCATTAATGTACTTAAATTGAGAGTTTTTTTGGATTTGGGACTACTTTTGTGGTGGTTTATTTGTACATTGTGCTACCGAGGCTTTGTCACCGGGGGTAAGACTACAAGCCTAGGTTGTTAAGTACTCGGCTTCGCTTGCCTCCGCTAAGTGACACCGCAACTCGTCTTAAAGTTATAAATGTGGAACGATTTTTACAGTACCTTAAGATTTCATAATCGTGGCCGTTTACTATCGTATATATCGCAATTACATCGTATATCGGCACATCCCTATTCATACTATTGTAAAGTTGTGTTTTGAAGCACTCGCCCTCAAGGACCACTGCTCAGAATTTGAAGCCAAATTATCTCTTACAAAGGAAATATGCCCAGATGTAAACAGGATAGATATATGGGATTTCACTCCCCTTAAAAGTGCAGCACTAGTCCAGGCTGCCCATATTACCAAAAACCTGCTGCTGTAGCTTCAGGGATGTGTTGACTCCTCGGTGTTTGGCTTGTGCAAGTTAAGGATGTAATTGCTTTTTTAGCCAGAGCACCAAATGAACCCGATGGAGAGAAACTGAAACACCAGACTGCAATGAGTGCAGATGATTCAGAGCTTAGGGGGTCACTGAGTTCATCCGAGTTCATAAAAATAATGTGAACTTCTCTTCGCTCTTGTCATCCAAACACTAAATGAGAGACAATCATTTGGCAGACGGCTCTCTTGTGGTGCCGACTTTTATTGTTTCCTTTAATTTGCCATCCTGTGTACAGCTTTAGAAACAGCTAAATGAAGGGGCAGATTTGTTTTTGCAGTGCAAGTTTGGTAGCAGCGGGCAGCTCTGTGGAGCAGGTAGATAAATAAAATCCAAGATTGTCTCCATCAGTTCTAAAATTCTCTTCAGGCAGGGTTTATCTGTCAGTCTGTCTGCATTCAAGGTCTGTGCAGACGCTGTGGTTGAATAAAACAAGTTTATGAATGTGTCTGTTTGTTTGTGTGTGTGCACATGCACCCTTTGGCTCGCTTCCCAGCCTCTATCTCCCCAGCTGATTAGGGGTTAATGGTCTATGAGCATGAGGAGCAATCTGCCTCCGGATTGGCTGGCTGGCTTTGTGTGGGCGGGGTTGCCATCAAGTGACAGATGGCGTACAACAGAGAAGGAGGAGGCAGGTTTGGAGTGCATTGAGTGTATATAAATATACATTGCGCTGAGTGTGTGTGTGTGTGTGTGTGTGTGTGTGTGTGTGTGTGTGTCTGTGTGTGTGTGTGTGTCGTGGGGGTCTGTAATTACAATAGAACATGCACAATGGATGTCTCTCTGGTGTTTTCTGAGTCAGTCTTTACATGTTTTATGTGTTTTTTACACAAATCCTCAACAATTCCCCGCAGGACTTCACGGTGTAACACATCCAGACCTATGTAGTAATGTGAAGTGTGACCAGCATGGGTTATTATGTAATCAAGATTAAAAAAAGAACAAGTCAACGAGTAAAATCAGAGCAGAGTCAGAATAAGGACTGTGGCCAGGGTCTGAATGCGTGCACTTCTGTAGAGATGATGTACAGAGTGTTCAGAGCGCAGTTGTTCGAAACCATAAATGAAACACACACATACACACTTCCTTCCTCATGAAAGATGTCAGTGGTGGTCATGTGTGTCTCTGTTTTCAAGGCGAGCATGCATACCTGCATTAGAGCAGACAAAGAGAGCACATACACACACACACACACACACACACACACACACACACACACACACACACACACACACACACACACACACACACACACACATACAGGGCTTTGTGATGCTCCCTCAGGCTTGGCAACACTCCCAGTTTACACACATCACACTCCTAATTCACCTTTGTCAGAAATTCATTGGTTTTGCAGAACCAGTCCAATAGCCTAGCATAGACCAGAACGAGGAATGTGTGTGTGTGCGTGTGTGTGTGTGACACAAACAGATCAGTGATATCTTCAGTGAATATCACTGACTGGTTTGTGTCTTTTCATCACCATGACATTAAGAACAAAAGCAGACAGGCTGTGAAAAGGTTGTGTTGTTCACTGTGTTTATGTGAGTGTGTGTGTGTGCCTGCCGACTGTCTGATGCAGTGTCTTTTTATCAAGTGTCATTGCATCTCCATCTGCTGAAGACACACTGTCTCCCTTTGACTGAACACACACACGCACGGAAGCAGTGTGTGTGTGTGCGTGCGTGCGTGTGTGTGTGTGAGAGAGAGGGAGAGAGAGAGAGGAGTTTGATACCAAGCTTTGAATATTCAATCATTAAGCTTTGAGACATACTGCATGCTTGAACAAAGAAAAAACTAATAAATTGAACTCTGGAGAACCTCAGGGCTTTGTCCTGGGTCTCCGTCTGTTTATGATAAATTGTCTTAAACTGTGCATTCGCTGTCAAGTAACCTTCTCATGCTCCTGAATATGTAAAACTAGCTAACTTAAAATGTAAAACTTTTGGTTCCTGATTTATGCAGTAAAAATATTCATTTGAAAGACCTGGCCTATTTCAGTTTTGTGTGTTACTGATGGTTTTTAATGAGGCAAACGTGATTCAATGCAAAGTATTACAGTGAGAGCAAAACATTTCTTACATCACATTCATCCCAGTGATTGTACTGACTATTGGCTTCAATGCTACAGACCCAAGACGGAGGAGGGAGAGAGACTGAGTTTAAAGTTAAAACAGAAAATTGTTACAAAGTCTTTTTACTTCATATTATCTGGTTTCAAAACTTCTACACTTATCTTAAGTGCTAAACTGCATTTCTGGAGGTAGGTGTAGATTTGACTGATGACCGACAAGACATTATTTAGACAGCTCGGAGGGGGAGATAGCTCTCAAATGTTCCCCAGACGCTTTTAACAAATGCACTCCTTGGATTTTAGCCTGATCTTTTGCTCACCACTGTGATGATTTCAGCACGAGAAGATCAAATTTGGACTCCCTCACACTAAGATGCGGTTTAGTGCAAACTGGCTCTACAGGTATATCCATTATAGGGAAGGCAGGGAGCAACAGGAAACCTTTTCTCTGACATTTATGATATTACGATGAGCTGTGAGACACAAAGATTGGTTTTACAGGTAGACTCAGCAGGAGGGAGAGAAGTTTGAACAATTTGGATTCGTTTTTATGTCTAACATTATGAAGATTCATCAGCCCCCTCTGTCTCTCTACATTTTTTTTTCCCGTCACTTTTAGCAACTTTATTAAACAGCCTGTTTGGCTCCATAGACCGTTTTGACATTGTTCAGCCATGTCCTTTTCTAAAATCAGTTGGATGTGTGGATACATCAGCAGGTCTTAGGTGTAGCTGGAGTGTTTTAGAGTTGATATGATGGAGATAAAAAAAACTCCACTCGAGTTGCTTGATTAAAGTCGGGGTGCTGGGTTGGTGGGTAGTACTCGTGATTCAGCCATGTGCAGACTAAAAATGGTAGTGCATGGGAAAAAGAAAAAGGCTTTGCTTTGGCATAAGTATGTTTCTGTCGGTAACTGTAAGTAGAGCAACATGATGAGTGAGAGTTCAGAGTTGTATTTGCGTCACAGAATTTACAGCAATGCAAAAGAAAAAATATTTTTCGTGAACATGCAGTGCTTTTCACAAAGTGTACACATCTAACCAGTTATCGCACACAAGCCTGGGTATAATGACCATGCTTTTAGAGCTTAAGCTAACGGTCACTCAGTTTTCTTGTTATTGTGTGATATTTACTGTGCTTTATTGTCATCTGTTGTGTAATAAGGTTTTTTTGGTGCTCTTTCTAAAGCATCTATTGTTCATTTTTTATGTTTTTTGATTAAGGTTGGCAAACTGCAAAGCTTAGGCTAAAAGTGCTGAAGTTTCTAGTGTTAGTTTGGTTGCTTGATGCTTGTTTCCTTAAAAATGAACAAAATGAGTAACACAATAAAAAAAACAGAGCAAATTTAGGAGTAAAAAAAACATTTTCTTTTTAGTTTTACTAACACAAATAAGCAAACTTTTAGGAGTAAAAAAAAACAGTTTTATTAAGATTTTGCTAACACACATAAGCTAACTTTTAGGAAAAAAAGAAAAAAAAAAAGATTTTCTTTAAATTCTGCTAACACACATAGTTTACTTTTTCTCAGATGATAGCTGATGAGTTTTGGGATGCCATGTTAGCCAGTTGCGTTATCCCCTGTATCTTCACACAGATAGTTTTCTCATGATCAAAGTCTGAAGTGGTCTACACATTCTAAAAGAGAGGATGGTCGTTGATGAAGCAGCCGGAGCGGCACTCTGAGAGATAACTTAGAACTTTTAAAAAAGATGTTGAAGATTTATTGTGAATCTGAAATAATTGTTAGAGCTTGTGACTTTTCAGGTTACTAATCGAGTGAACATTCATACATTTTTAACTGTTTTCATTCCATTCTGCAACTTGTGATCTACCAGAATAAGTTCAAAACAAAGGCATTGTTTAAAGAAATATAAAACAAGCTAAATGCAAGACAGAAAAATATCATGAAAAAAGTGTTTAATGAGACAGTCTTCCACTTAAGAAGTTTCAGTCACAGGGCTAGTGAATCATAAATTTGAAAACTGTTTGAAATGGCTGAAGAAGTAAGGAAGCTGCGTTCATTAATGTTCATGAAGTGATCTGTTGCTTCATCTTTGTCTAAGCTTTTTTTTAATTTGACTTTTTGTGTTGGTTCATTTTCAAGTTTTCATAAATATTTCAATATTTTCAGGCCACTATAACTGTGAGATGAAATCAGGTATGGTGACAGCTTGTCTTTACTATTTCACCTGTGGGTTCCAGTTGATATAAACCTTTTTATTTTGTTCAGGGCTCTAATACTCGTAGGTTCTGCTTTCTTTGTGATTCCGTATCTTGTTGTTTCGGTAGCTGTTTATTGGAAGGCTGTGTGTAGGATTGAGAGTAGACCAGAACAGTGTGTGGTTATTTTGCTGGTGGGAGGATTTGAGCAAGGAGTTGGGTCTCTGTGTCTTCGGTCAGTTGGTGTGACAACAGTGTGCGTCAGTCCTTTAAACTCTTCATGTGGTCGTCTGTTTCCGCTTGTTCTCCTGGAGCTCTTCATCTTTCTTTGTCAAAGTGAAAGCAGTTTGGAGTTGATTGGGTCCCAGCGTGTGTGTGTGTGTGTGTGTGTGAGTGAGTGAGCGCGCTCCCAACATTTGGTTTGGAAAAGCCTGCTGAGGGCTTCTTTTGCCAGGGAGATGGCTTAACACACTCTTATTAGGCCACTACCAGGCTGGCTCACACCCCAGAATTCAAATGTTGAGTGTGTGTGTGTGTGTGTTGTGTGTGTTTATATTGATGTTTGTTGGCTTTTGGCTTTTCAGCACTTTATACATTTGGACTTTTTTTTAGCTGGTGCTGAAAATAGCCGTATCATTGCTTCCCAGTCAGCTCGCTCATCCTCCTTTTTTGTCCCTCCTCCCTCTCTGTCTCTGGCGTCTCTAGCTGTGAAAGCAGCAGTGGGGTTGCTATGGTTTGGTGAGATACTGTAATCCAATGTGTACACACTCACACACACACACACCTCACCTCATAAATAATTGACCTGTCACAGTGAGACGACAGGACAGAGCAGATACACTCCCCCCTCCCTTATTCTCTTTCCTCCTCTCACATTTCTCCTACTATCTCATCCCCTTATTCTCTGTTTCCTCGCCTGCCTTTCCATTAAAGCCTGTTTTTTGTTTCACATTTCTCCCTCTTTATTTCCAGTTTTTCAGCCCTTTTTACATTCTTCTTTTAGCACTCGGGCTAAGGCTGCAATCTGACAGTTCAGTCATTATTGATTATTAAAATGTTATTTTGAATGACAATGTGCACCATTACCAGATGTTTTTTCTTCAGCAATCACCCCCATGCATAACTTTTTTGAAACTTTTGCCTTGCTGTTTAAAAACATAAAAGTTAATTCACGTAAGATGAATGATTTAATTTGAGTGCGTTGTGCAGTGGTCATAGAAACATAAGTCCTGCTCTACTAATTAGGGTTAGGAGATAAGGTAAAAAAAGAAATGGATGAATTTGATGGACCGGAAATGTAAAACTGAGCATTTTTGTAACTTAGACTAACTGTTGAGTTGACTGTCACAGTTAAGGTTTGTCTTTGAATACTCGAGGTGAAATGGTGAGACTTTAAACCTTTTATAAAGCGATAGTCTCAGTAGCCGTCATCTCACTGTGCTTTAGTGACCTGTTGCTTTCTGGTCCCTGCTTTGCATTTGCCACTCTCAGCTAAAATGATGAAAATGCATAATATCTCAATCCTTATCATTTGTTTGGCACGTTTTGTTAACCTGCCACTTCCCAAAGGTAGTTGATAAATTAGCAAATGTTGTGATTTGTTCAAGCACGTAGGAAATTTTTCTGTCCAAGGATTTAGGTCTTGATGTGTGTCTGTTGTGTGTTGTATTTGTTTTGCATGTTCCCTGGTTGGTCTTGCAAATATATATCCACTGATTGGCTGTTTATTTAAGTAACCTTGAGTCTGCTTCCTACATTACCATAAACCCTCCAGCTGCTCTATTTTACAATGTCTCACTCCTAGGCGATTTAACTGCGGATATAGACAATATGTTTACACACAGCATGAGAACGTGCACGCTGACGTCACCAACTATCACCTTGGAAGTCCACAGAGTCAGAGCTCTTAGATTTGACAGAAGTGGTACAGATCAATATCATAATAACTTTTGATTGTTTGATGCATATCTTTTTAAAAACTTTTTTCATTACACTTACTAGTTTGTAATTGTGATAATAAAGGCCTAAATTAGAAGAAGAAGAAACTTGACTGTACTACTTTAATGGCAAGGTCATCAAAACTAAGATTAGGATTAAGAGTTGCTCAGAAACACTCAAACAGTAGATGTCTACTTTGATGCCAGTCTGACCATCGCTGCCTTGACAGGTGAATAAAGTTGTGTGTCATCAGCATAGCAGTGAAGTCCAAGAATAGAGCCTTGAGGTTCTCCATGGTAAAGTTTTTGTTCCTATCCATTTGTATCCTGACACAAAGCTTAATTTGACTTGGTATCAACTTTGTGTTTATTATCATTGGTTATCATATCATTTATAAATCATTGACTGGATAATACAACCACTGTGATGAGAGATTCAGCCTCTGCGCTTCAACTGAACCAAAGCACCCACAAGGCCTGTTTTTCAGTATATCTATCACAACAAATTATTTTTAGGCAAAACTTTGAGATCTACTCCTTTAAAAAAAAAAGCACTGGCTCATTTCTCAGAGAGCTCAACTGTAAATCTTATAAAAGTGAGAACAGATGTTTAGGTGTGTAATTGTCTTAATTGTCTCTGCAGCTCATCTAAAGTGTTAAGACTTTGGCTAGTTTAGTGTGTGAGGGTTGTAAAGATTAACTATGCAGAGCAGAGTTAAAGTTCAGCTCTGCAGGTGACTACCCTTACAGTCCTGGGGACTTGCTGTGTGAGCATTCATGTGTGTGTTTTGGGCAGGAAATCACACCCCAGCAGCCTGCTGTCCACTGCACATGAATGACACAGAAGAAGAGGAGGCAGAGAGAGTATCGGATGGCACAGTGCCCTGTTAGAGAAGTCTCAGTAGTGTGTGTGTGTGTGTGTGCGCGTGTGTGTGCGTGTGTGTGTTTTGTGCTTAAGGTTTGCTCTGTGGGTCTAGAGGCTTAGGTTACTACAGATGCTCTGTCTTTCCTTCTCTTATGCTTTTACATCTGCTCTTTGGTTCACCTGCAAGACCCAGGCTGAAGTTGAAACGAAGGAACATTTGAAAAACATGAAATCATGGTTGAAAAATCTGTGTGTGTTACTTGGTGGTTTACAGAAATGAGAACTGTCAGTCTCTTAGTTGTTCGTCCATCTTTACATCAGGCATATGTACATTGAAAACAACAGAGCACCAATGTTTTTGTATGTTTATTTTCATTACTCACTTTCCTCTTTTCTCTCTGTATTTCAGGATTTCACCTCAGCGGCACGGTAACTGAACCCGCCACATCATCAGAGCCTGAAGTCACTCACAAGGTGGCCATCAGCTTCGACCGATGCAAGATCACCTCCGTCACCTGTGGTTGTGGAAACAGAGACATTTTCTACTGTGCCCATGTGGTGGCGCTCTCTCTTTACCGGATTCGTAAACCTGAACAGGTAAAATCAGACCCAGTAGTAGACATGGCCATTTAAACTTAGTCTAAAAATACCTTGAAGAAAAGCAGACTTTTTTAAGGCAGTAAAAATATCCAGTTAAAGCTCCTGTGAGGAGTGGTTTTGAGTTCATGATGATTTTTTTTTTGCCTTTTTGTGATATACAAAAGCAAACAAATCCATCAGCAGTATGACTGATGATTTTTATACCACGATTTTTAATGCCAGAAACCATCAGCATGGGGTGTCAACTCAGCAGCTGACGAAACAACTCTGTTTTTACAAATTCTACATAAAAAATTCACAATAAATGAAACATTTGACCATCAGAAGTCAGCAGGATGAGGTTTTTTTTGTTGCCAGAACAAACTATTTAAGCACACAGGGGACAAGATAATTAAAGACTGCTTTATCCATAGGGGGGTGCCAAAAAGAACACAAACTGAACGCTCCTCTCAGGAGCTTGAACTGTTCTTTTTACATCAAAGGGTACAGCACTAACCCTAACCCTGGCCCAAGTTAAGATCTAAAGATTTCCCCTAAATGATAATACTGAGAATAAAAACTAGGGAATAAAAATTTGGGATGTCTAAAACCACAATTAGTGCCAAGATGAGAGCTAAAGTAGTAGGGGAGCCACCCTGGAAACTCTGGAACTCCAGTTGGCCATCCTGATATCCTAAATTATGAATGTCTGTTTATCTTGTCAGAGTTAAATTGAAATTAACAGTTTAAGTTGCATATGTTGTTGTTGTTGTTGTTTTGAGGGCTGTAAATGTCCCTACTGCTTATCATGCCCGACCACCCCTACAAAAATCAGTGTCATGGTTTGGCCCCCCTTGTCAAAAACGTTTGGCTCCGTCACTGGGAGTTCCATGTCTGAAAACAGCTGGAATCTCTTTTGCTCAAATTTTTATCTAGCTCAACTTTCTGCACACAGGCTTTGAAAAGTTGGATTTAAATTGAAGTTTCCAAGTTAGCTTGACATTATAGAATGAGTGTGCATCATAAGATCTCTCTACAAATGAGAATTAAAGACACTTCTTTTGTGCAACTAGAAAATTAATAGAAAATATTATATTGACATGTGTGACTTTAACATTTCCCACCGTGTGTCTGGTACAGGTGAAGCTGAGGTTGCCAATCTCAGAGACGTTGTTCCAGATGAACAGAGACCAACTGCAGAAACTGGTCCAGTATCTGATCACAGCCCACCACACTGAGGTCCTGCCCACTGCTCAGAAACTGGCTGATGAGATCCTGTCCTCCAACTCTGAGATCAACCAGGTCCATGGTGAGAGATTAACCTTTGTGACAGTCTTTGAAAAGCTCATGTTTGATTAATTTTAAGTTGGGTTTAACACTCAGAATCTATCTAGAAACTTCTTGGAGTGCTGTAAGCGCAGCAGTCAGTAGTAAAGCTGTTGTTGTAAAGTCTGTGGAGGTGCTGTCCGTCCCTGTGCAGTGATATCTTCACAGCCACAGGCCAGACTTAAAAGCCTCCAGACTGAAAACATGCTGCATGTGAGCCCACAGGCTGTCAGACGTCAGAGCTCTGATTACTCCAGCGGAGCAGCGAGCCCGGCTTCAAATGGCTTGTTTGATTTCTCAGACCAAATTCTTCAGTGACTACCTCCTCCCAGTGGCAGAATATGTTGGAAAAAAAGCAGAAAAAAATAAAGTTGACTGGTGAGTGGGCACGGAAGAAGAAAGAGGGAGATGTGAGGCAAGGAAAGAGACAGTTTAGAGGAAGGGAGGAGGAGAGGGAATGGTATTTGGGGAAATGGGGTTAGGAGACAGCGTGGAGGGAAAACATGAAAGCACCGGAGAGCATATTGATGAAGGAAAACCACAACAGACCTGCATCAGGGAAACGACAAACCAAACATATCCTTTCACCAAACAAAACTCTTTGTCTGTTTCTTGATTTCACCCTCCTCGCTGAATGTTGACATTCTCTAGCTGTCCTGTCCAGGAAGCCCCAAGCTGTGTTTCCTGTCTGTGTTTGACAGGGGGATCATGGGGGTTGAAGTTCAGTCGATCCAGGAGTGAGGCGCTCTTTGATGGAGGAATGTGGCTGTTTGCCGCAGCGCTTTTTTTTTTTCCAAGCCAGTTGGAAACACATCTCTGGGCTTTCCTCAGCACACTTCCTGTTAGATCAAAGCAGCCGCCCCCTTTCTGAGCACATCTACATTTCCCTGTAGTATAACTGAGACACACACACATACACATATATATACGAGCAGTGCTTGTATATAAAGTTGGTCTTCTATTCCCTCAGTGCTCCATTAGCCTAAATGGAGCAGCTTTTCTGAGGTGTCGACCAGGTTGTACTGTAGGATAACTGTAAAACAAATCGCTGGAAAAGCTGTAAGTGTGAGGGAAACTCAAAACATTCAATAGATTTTTATTTTTGTGTTTTATCCTCTTAAAGTATAAAATGAAGTCATGTTGTGTTGAAGAATGATGCAAATGCAAAGTACAAAAAACTGCAGTACCTCAAGTGTCCACTAGAAGATGTTTTCAAAAGCCAAGATGACTCATTGAATCCCATTTGAGGGTGTTCAATTTCACATAGTAATCACACACATGTACAGCCCAGAACATTGAATTATTTGATTGATATTTCTGTCCTTGTTCAGCTCTCCGTATGCTTTAAGCTTTGCAGATGGTCATAATCATTATCACCACTGTCTTAAAGTTAAAGCGTCTTTTCTCAATCAGAGATGGTTTGGGTCCAGTGGCTCTTCAGGCTGCTCTCATATCTGTGCCTGATAACTGTTGTTTTCTATAGACTCTCGAAACCAGCCTGTCATTAAAACTAATGTTTTTGCCACAGCGTTAACAGGCAGAAGTGAACTATACCAGATTGATATGATACAGCAAATGTGATCAGTTGTTTTTCTGTTAAATATTAATCGACGATGTTATTGGATTGTGACTGATCAGAATCAAGTCTTCAACAGCCTGGCTATAATTAAGGGACGTGATTGTATTTTACGAGTGCTGTTGAAAAGATTCGCTCTATTGATATCATCATCTCTGCTAGGGCTGGGCGATATGGCCTCAAATCAATATCACGATATATTGAGCAGTTCACCTCAATAAGTATAAATGGACGATAACTACTCCACAAGCTGCTGACCCCCTCCCACATTAACTCTGTCTACTTCAGCCGCCGCTCCAACTTTTGAACCGTCCTCCATCTCCTCACCTGTCTTTCCCTCTTTGTTACGGACTGGATGGGGTGGAGTCACGTCTCTGACGTAGGACAGCGTCTTAAAGGGACATCAAACCATAGCCTACCAACACACATCCAAAACCAACTTTTATTTATTTATTTTTTATACCGATATGGGTAAAATGGCGTTGGTTATTATAGTAAATTTCGGTATCAGTAAATTTTCGCCCAGCCCTGATCTCCTCTTATAAATTCATTCATTATTTCAGGTCTTAGTTGAAACTGTGAAGGACTTGAGTGACCAGAATCAATTTGGAAAGAATCAGATCAATGTTGGATTGCATGGATGGTGCCTCTGGTTCCTTCTGCTTCTTTGTGTTTGTTTGTTGTGTGTCCTCACATGTTTCTATCACTGTGCATTCCTGTCACTTATCGTCTGCATGTTTTTATTCCCAGGTGCTCCAGACCCGACGGCGGGCGCCAGTATTGACGATGACAACTGCTGGCATCTGGATGAGGATCAAGTGAGAGAGCAGGTCAAGCAGTTTCTGTCACAGGGAGGATACTACGGCTCGGGGAAGCAGCTGAACTCCATGTTTGCTAAGGTACACATCACCACTTCCTGTTTCTGCCTCAGGCTGGGACTTATTTATTGATTTATGTAATCATTACACCAGAAAGTCAGAGACATTTTTTTTGCTATCCCACATATGAATATTTACTTCAGCTGCTGTTTTCTTAGATTGATCAATGATGGATTAAAATCTGCTCCAAAATTCACAAGTTAGCCTCAATCCGTATAAATTCTTCCACTCACTGCAATCATTGGAAATAAATAACTCCTTTGGTTGTAAGTGAAGTTGAAAAAGATTTAAATATGAACATTTAAATACTTAAAGGAAATATTACAATGGTTTTGTGCTGCAAGTTGATGGGACTTTTCAAATTAATACAAAAAACGCTGACTATAATGCAGAAGACCTTCATGGGAATGTTAAGGCTAAACTATAAAGCCCTCAACCCTACATCTCAAGTTTGTTGGAAAGCTTTCAGAAATACTGATGTGAGAATAACGTAAAAAAAATCCTGATTGAAAGACCCTGACAATGTCGACTGGGACTGTTTGAAAGCTCCTCTTTATGTCTAGTGTTGTTGAAAAATCCCCCTTTGATATGAAAAAAATGTTTATAACACTTTTTTTCCACATGAATTTTTCCTTTCAGTATTTTTTTTTCATTATTTGCCTCCTTCATATTGAACCCTGGGCTTTTTTCTCTACAATCAAAGAATACAGATCTTCACAGTTATTCAAAATCTGATCTTTAGAGTCAAATTGTCATGTCTATGTAAAAGTGTGTTCAACCACTGCATAAAGGAATACAGGGCGCTCTCAGGTCCTGAAAACCTCTTAGGATTCCTTTGTCTGTATTATCCAACTCAAAGCGTTAACAGGTTTCCAATACAGTTTGATAGAAGCTTTCTAATCAAATTCAGCGTGGAGGATTCAGAAAAGCACTCTTCTTGAGCTCTTTGTCTGAGGATAACAGGACCACTTTACAAAGACCTGTATTCTGATGAGGCTGAGCTCTCGGCCTCAGGGCCAAGCTGATTCTTTTATAAAGTTTCTGAAGCCGCTCCGATCTAACTTTTAAACCTCAAGTGTACTTAATGACACATGTCACAAGATGCAGTGTTCCATCCTTGTCTTTTAGTCTGATTTCATGCAAGGTTTCCAGAACTGAATACAGACACATGCTGCCATTACTGAGAGGAATTACAGACAGACTTTATATTTTGAAGTTTCCAACCAAAACCTGAGAGTATCAAAAGAAATGTACCAAACCCATCTATTCTAATCACCCACAATTAATCAGAGCTGCCAGATCTGTGGACTGCTTCAAAAAGCTTTGAAAAAAAATTCTTGGTTACCAAAGTTTTTCCGCTTTTTTTGTTTCATTTTGTTCTTTTGTCTTATTTTTGATCACTTTGTAACTGAGAGTTTGACTAAACATGTGCACTCTGGGTCTTTAAAGGTGAGGGAGATGCTAAGAATGCGAGACTCCAACGGCGCCCGAATGCTGACACTCATAACGGAACAGTTTATGGCAGACCCCCGGTTGTCGCTATGGAGACAACAAGGCACAGGGATGACCGACAAGTGTCGACAGCTCTGGGACGAGCTGGGTAAGAAGACGTGACTTACAAGCAGTGTCAATTTTGGTGCCTTTATAAGATCTGGTCAAAGTCTTTAGACAAAAATGCAAAGATGTTTATTTGTAGTCGACAAAAAGTCAAAACATTTAAGTCTGTTTGAGTCAATGAAAGACCATTTTAACCATTATTTTAAAGTCAAATTCTTCTCTGTCTTCAAACTTTTTCATTTCATGAATCAAAAATCGTTACCAAGAGTATAATGTTGTTAAGCCCAAGCGATGCCCCTGGACAGGCAGGCTGGTGTCGGATTTAAATGTTCTCAGGTGGTCTGATCAACTTGTGGTCCCACCTGCTAGTGACATCACACAATATGATTGGCTGTACATCAATATGACGATTTTTCATCCTGTGATTGGCTGTACGTGGAGGAGTTTGTACATCAGAGAATTTAAGGATGTCGTTTATGCAGATCACAGATCTGTAATTAAAAAATGGAACACACAAAACTGTTAATGCATAAACAAGTAAGTTAAGGACATATGTGTGTCCTTCTTTTTTTGAACTTAGAACAGTTCTGATATTGTGTTAAGTTTCCTCTTTAAAAGCCATATGTTTTGGCTTTCCTAATACTGGTGATGACAAAAATCTTTTTTTTTTTTAAATTTAGATCTTCATATTATGCTAAAGATAAGCATATGGTCATAATGTGACTCAATAGTGGTGGTCCCTTACACCAGTCGGTAGACTTCATAAAACACAGGAAGTTGAAAGAAGTTGCAGACTGCTCTTGAGCTAGTTGTATTAATCCTCTGAGAGATGGTTCAGCTCTTTTTACAGAGATATTCAAGATTTATTATGAGTCTATAAACAGCGTTAGAGCCTGTGCCTCTGTGGATCATTTAAACATTTATACTTTCTGGCTGTCAAAATAGTTAGCAGAAGAGGCAGCTGATACATATTTACCCTCACATTTTTGTTAATAAAATGCTCATGAAAAAGTCTGCATGGTTTTATAGTGACCTGCTCAGTTAGAAATGTCATAAGCCGGCTAATCAGCTCACTTGTTTCTTCATTAGTCAGCACAGATAAGACAGCATGGCCCACAAACGTGTCCACCCTGTCAGTGGGGCAGACAAATCAGCTGTTACCTTGACGGGTGAATGTTCTTCCAGTCAGTAAGCTATTAAGTCATCCAGTCAGTTTCTCCTCCTCCTCCTGCTGCTGCTGCTGCTGCTGCTGCTGCTGCTGCTGCTGCTTGGGCCTCTCCTCTCCCCCTCGTCCTGCAGCTCCTCACTGAGTGAATGATAAAGGCTGCCGATCAATACGGCTCCTCAGCTTCTCTGCAATCAATCTCAGCATTTAGGAGGTCAATGAGAACACTTCCTGGGTGAGCGAGGGGGATCATGACACAGACGCAGACAGAAATAACAGCCAGACACTCAGACTTTGCTGCCTGGTAAAATTTTCTCTGGTGCAGACATCTAAGAGCTCGCCCCCGCTCAATGGCAGTGTTTGCGGAGCAGGTGAGGTCAGAGCAGGAAGGTCAGACGAGACAGCAGGATGTCATTGATGACAATAATATCTGATTAATTTGATATAAAAAAACATAGGGTTCACTAAAGTCAGAGGCTATCTTTTAAAATAATCTGACAAATAAAACTGCAAGTTTTCACTGTGGACATTTGATATCCCAATATTACAGAGATGAAATTAAAGTGTGGATAAAGGCTGTAACATGCATTTTTTTCATACAATTGTTTGTTTCCTGGTTATGTTCATAAAAAGTCAGAAAGTTATGATAAAATGTTGATCAGTATTTCCTGAAGCCCAAGATGGTGTCCGGTCTTCTAATGCATTTCTTGAATCCAACCCAAACATATGCAGTTTACTGATGTAGAGAAGGAATAAAAAGAACTTTTACAATGAAGAAGCTGGAATCAGAGAACCTTTAGCCTCTCAAAGAATTAGTTAAAAAGCATCTCTTTATCAAGACAATTTATTAAAAACTTCCAAAATGATGGTCAGATACTTCATCAAGAACGCTCCTTAAAGGGATATTCCGGCGTAAAATTTAGTTAGGGTCAAACACAAGCAACACGGAGTTGGACACCCCCTCGAGGGATGAATGTTGCCGACCGCTTACTTCTCTAGGCTAGGACCCTATATGTACCGTTGATAAAGTTAGGTGCTGTTCTGAGCATTATTTGTGGCTATAGAGTGGCCTTTTGTATGGCTTTTTTGTATCTTGTATCTTCTCAGACCGCTGTGTATTGCCATCGTGCGGTCATTGCTGAAGTTGGTAAAACTAGAGAAGCAAGCAGCCGTAACATTCATCTCTCGAGGGGGTGTCTAACTCAGTGTTACAGTGTGTTTGACCCTAAATTAATTTTACGCTGGAATATCCCTTTGAAATGGGAACTTCATCTCAGAAACTCTAATAACCTAGAAGTCAAAATCCAAGGTGGTTTCTCTCTGAGTTAATTCACCCCTGAGCATTTTTCCTGTTGGTGAAGCTCCAGGGGTGACGTTGGCCTTCCATCACTTCCACCTGCTTTCTATCAATAAAATCAAATATACAAACAAATATTTAGGCCATGCTTATACGAGCTGTAGATAAAAAAGTGGGGGTGACATTGTGCTGCTTTATGCTGTGTTCCTCATGGTCAGCCAGGACCCAGTGGCAATCTCAGGGCCTGAAGCACCAGAAACCATGTACATACAAAGCCAATTTTAGACAAACATTCACTCCCTGCACTGTTTTCTTTGGCTGTAATACATTCTTTTAAAAGTTATTCAGGTTACAAGATCGGCAAAATGGAGGTACAGCTGGAGCTTTCGATCATTCTTGATGGCTCAACAAAGCCTTTACTTAGGCATACCACTCTAAATCTGATCTTTGTCTCTTCTTCAGGTGCATTGTGGGTGTGTGTGGTGTTGAACCCTCACTGTAAGAGTGAGGAGAAGAGCAGCTGGCTGAAGCAGCTGAAGAAATGGGGCGAAATGGACGTCTGCCCGCTGGAGGACGGAAACTACGGCAGCGAGCTTCCCAACATCACCAACGCTCTGCCACAGAGCAACCTGGCTCAGGGTCAGCAGCAAACATACAAATACACACAATTTTTAATGGAGGTCTAGCACAGAATAATTCAATTTGGACATTGTGTGTGCTTTGTTTTTGTCAGACTCTCTGTCCAGGCCGAGGAGGACGGTGTTCAGCCGAGCAGTGGAGGCCTGCGACCTGCACTGGCAGGACAGCCACCTGCAGAGGATCATCAGCAGCGACCACTACATGTCTCCATCTTATCAGAGGGAGGGGGAGAGTCTGCTGTTCAACCCGCAGGGTCTGCCACTTTGGCTGGGTAAACAAACACAAGCACAAACACTCAAATAAGCTCCACAAATCATGGGCCTCTTTCACACCAGAACCCCTGACATTTTTCAGATACTTTTGAGGAATTCTAGGCTCTTATATTTTTAGGGATTCGTAGTTCACACAGGTCTGACAGCAGGAGAATTTCCCTGATAAACCCATTCTCCGAACTCAAAATGCTCTGTTTTAAAGACAGTGTTTATTCAATGATATTTAGCAAAACAGACTCAATAAAAATGTGATATAAAGTTCCACTAGTTTGTAAGAACGTCAGTCCCTTAACTGAACTGGTGTGCAAAGGTCTGTCTGTGCAGTTGAGATGGGGTGTCCTTCCTCTTGGCTTTTAAAACAGATCTCTTTCACCTAATACCAGAGGAGGACAGAGAGTGTTGTCACTGTAATAAGTGGGAGGTTAAAAATAAAATGCACTATTTTTTCCTATTGCCTATTTCATCATGATCTTAGATATCAGCTTTGCAGTAAAGTGTCAGGAAATTGTCCTGATTTGGCGTTTATGTCACTTGTTGAGTGGTTTTGTAGAATTAGATGGAACTTCAAGATTCTGAGTGATGTTGTTTAGACTAAAATATACTTTTGTATTACATTACATATATTCAGATGATCATTATTAGATTGACATTAGATGCAGTCAGTTTTATGAATTAAAAAAGGAAAAAAAAGCTTTTCTGCCTTACAAATGAAGCTGACCCAGATAATGTCAGGAAATATTGAAGAGTCATGTGCCTTTATTCTTTGAAAACACAACTGTTTTTATCCTGAGTAGTAGTCAAATTAATCAATTAATCAGTTTTCAATTATATAGCACCTAATAACAAAAATGGCTATCCAAAGACACTTTCCGAAGAGCTGGTCTAGGCCTAACTCTTCGTTTGAAGTATTACAAATACTCGACCTCAAAAAGGGAAAAGATTGAGTCCCATCTAGAAAAATTCATTCATTAATCCATCCATTCTTAACCCATTTATAACCAACATGAGTGAAGCTCTAAAGGTATTAACCTTGCTTCAGGGAAGTCATGGTGTTCACTTGATTTATGTCAGTCCACATTCACGGTACCTCATCTGGTCAAATCTCAGATTTAACCTCAAGACAGGCAAATAGCAGCTTTATGTCGTTAGATACTAAAAATCTGATTTTCGGGGGTAAAGACAGTGTTTCAGAGGCACTTACATATATACACAATCTTTAATTCCACTGAAGGCACACACACACACACACACACACACACACACAGAGTAATTCTGCTGATATTGAGGTTGGTATCTGCAGTAAGCAGCTTCCAGCTAAGATCTGTCAGATTCTGCAACTTAAGCCAGCTATCAGACACACACTGGCGTTCTGCTGAGACTGCACAGTGTGTGTGTGTGTGTGTGTGTGTGTGTGTGTGTGTGTGTGTGTGTGTGTGTGTGTGTGTGTGTGTGTGTGCGCGCACGCATGTTTGTGTGTGTGTGTGTGAGACTGCCATTACTAACTGTATCCGAGGTCCTGTATTGTGTGTATTGAGGAGAAAAATGTATCTGTAACTGTCTTTCTGTAAGACAATCTTACATTAACTTCACTACAAAAGTGTGTGTCTGACCCAGACTCTGTTCTCTCTTTCTATCACACAGACCACGTCCCAACAGCCTGTGCACGTGTGGATGCCCTACGTTCCCACGGTTACTCAAGAGAAGCCCTGCGATTGGCTGTGGCTATCATCAACACACTCCGCCTGCAGCAGCAGAGACAGATGGACATCTACAAACACCAAAAGAAAGGTAAAACACACACACACACACACACTCATCCTGTGACTAATGAATTTGTTTGTTTTCTGGGTCAGTCACTAAAATATCTTCCTCTTTCTCCTTTTCTCAGAGCTTCTCCAGAGAGGCGTGACCTCCACCACCAACCTGGAGGGCTGGGTGGGTCACCCCTTGGACCCGATTGGCTGCCTTTTTATAACACTGACCGAAACTTGCCGTGTGGACGACGACAACAGCATGGACACTGGAGGTATGAAACCAAAGGTTTAGTTTTAGTGAAGCCTGTGAAAGCGAACCTCTGTGTGGAGAGCATAGACTGTATTTAGAATGGACACCGTCTGCCTCCTCGCAGGGTGAAGCCACTGCAAGAACAGCACCCTCTGGTGACAGACTGCAGTATAGGTCATAAGTCCCGCCTCCTCCAGCAATCCCTATGGAGTTGTGGACAAACATTAGAAATTAATCACACAGAATCCCCCCCCCCAGTTGTGATGTTGACACGTAGTTGCTGTAAGACTGGTTTGTGCTCAAGTCTTCTTTTTTTCTGTACAGCTTCATTTTTAAAAGTTATTAGGGGGTTCATGTTTTCTATGATTGACACTTGATACAGCCTTTTGGTGTATGAAGATTGCGTAGGTCACCCAGGGGATATGCTGTTTGAGTTGAGCGTCATCACAGCGACACTCCTGCCAAATGCGTACATTGCTTCTGTGCAAGTGGTGGTTCCAGGAAGTGGAGAAAACCCCAGAAATACCGCGAGCAATTCGGCCTCAAATTTGTATAATGACAGAAGGCGGAGCCAAGTTGTCCATAGTATATACGGTCTATGGTGGAGAGTCTCTGAATGTCATCACAGCTCGATCAGAGACTCAGTCAGACTCTCAGAGAGAGATTCACTTTATTAACAAGTGATTTTTTTTTTTTTCTCTTAAACAGTTCCCATGACTGCTCTCACACCGTTGCATCATTTTGCTCTAAGTGTTTCCTGCTCGCAAACTTTCTGCAGAGCCATTTTTCCTAAATAATTTCTGGAGCTTGAACAAGCATTATTCTTTTATTTTAAAAAATGTCAATCTTTTAAAGTCCCACTTTGATTATTTTTTTTACTACTTAAAGTGTTCACAGTGGTCTTTAAACTGTGATTAGGAAGTTTTTTGCCAAAATTACGTTACGTGTGTCATTTTCAAGGACTTTTCTCCTGCAGAGCTCCAGTAGCTCATTAGCAATTCTGCTCTGCACACTCCTCTCCATGCTGGCTTGCAGCCTAACATTGCCGGTGTAGTAGAAGTGGCATGTAACATAGGAGCTATTCAGCCCTTGGACACTAATGTCTTTAGGGACATGATGAAAGTTAATATCATAATTAGCTTTCTTATGAGCAATACAATCTGCTAACACAAACGCTTGTTCAGGGATTGTCCTCTCTATTTATCCGAATCTGGCCTGCATAGCAGAGCTCCAGCAGAGCTTGGATTTGTGACATAGGAAATCTAACTGTGTCTAAGCCTGCAATTTGGGTCTGCCAGAGGTTCACAGTGGTTTGAATGCAGAAATACTCAGAAATGCAATTTCGCACTGACTTTTCTCATGATGTGTCACGTGGCATCAGAAAAATGCCATTTGCACGTATAGACAACAAGAAAAACATGATTTTTATCAGAGAGGGGGGTGGGGGTGGGGGCTTATTATCAGCAGCCATTTGTAAAGAAATCTGGTGAAGCTGCATCAATCAATCAGTGTTTAGATAGACAGAGAGTACAATAGCCAGACTGAATTGTGTTTTTTGTTTGGAGTGCATAGATTTACTTACTGCATTACAAGATCCCAAAGGTAAACTCAAATACATCAACAAGTCTCAGAGCTTGTAGGTCTGAAAACCTTGCTTTCAGCACTCACAGAAGCCAAATGCTAATGTTGTGCAAGTATGCTAACAATGAAAATGCCAGGCAGACTAATCAGCCCAAGATATTTTAATCAAGTTATAAATAAATGCAGAACAATAAACCACCTGGACCAGATGGAGTCCTAGCAAGATATAATTGACATCTCTGGCACATACTTTATTTTCTGTCACTAACAGCAACTTTCAAACAAATAAAAAAAACATCTCCACAGTCATAACCACATGAACTTTGTTATCATGTGACTTGTATCAAAGCTCAGAGTCAAATATTTGCTGTTTCATCCAGTAACATGTGGATTTGAAACCTTTTCTCAGTCTCACATCAGTGTTTTTAGGATTTTGGGTCTGAGAATTAAAAAATACCTGGAGTCCGGACTGAATCTGAGCATTTTGCCTCAAATACTGCAGCATGGACTGCACAACATGGTTGTGTTTGAGGCCATGTTGAACCTTTACTTTTGATTGACCTTACAAGATACAAAGGGGCAGAGTGGCAGACTAAATACCGCATGTCAGTGATGCCCAAAAATGTCCAAAACCTGTAACTAGGGATGCACTGATCAGCTCCTAGGATCAGATATTGGACCAGCTTTCATGTCAACATGTAGTCTGTCTGTTCAATTTAATAACTGGAGAAGTGATCTTGTTTGTTGCAGTCCCACTATCTCATGTTATGTAGCTAAAAATGATCCTCTCTCTGCATGTTTAGTGTTCAGTCAGTTGTGTTATCATGGCTGTTATAAAGCCAACCAACCATCCACTGATCCCTTAAGGTGCACTCAAACCTCAGCACAGCTCCATCAGATGAAGCTCCTCCCTCCTGTTTAAACAATAAATTAGTCAGAGAGCTCATTGCTCAGACACACGAGTGATTCCTGCCACACTTGACCAGCTGATGCAGAGTCAGCCTGAGCAGAGGTGAGCGGGTTCACCAGCACAGACTCTCGAGACGACAGACTTCACGCTCTCGTATCAGGACCAGATCTATTGTCCTGCAGACGGCCATAAAGTCACAGAGCATGGATAGATCAGGCTGAAACACCCTGCTCATTTAGACCACTTTCCTTTTGTGTGCATGCATGCTTGTGTGTGTGTGTGTGTGTGTGTGTGTGTGTGTGCGTGTGTGTGTGTGTGTGTGAGTGGTTCATATAGAATCCATCACCATTTGCATTTCTCGCCCTGCCCAGGCTCTTTTTCTACACCAATGGTCATTCTAACGGAGTAGAATAGAGGTTGGGTTTTCCTATTGTTACCAGGCTACAGGGAACTATTGTCCCCTCAAACAATGCTGACCACTGGCACACTCGGAGCCACACTGTGTGTATGAGAGAGCGTGTGTGTGTGTGTGTGTGTGTCTGTGTGTGTGTGTGTGTGTGTGTGTGTGTGTGTGTGTGTTTGTGTGGTAGAGTGAATGATTGTCTTATGTTGTTTTGGGAATTGGAGTAGAGCGGTATGACTACTGTGTGTGTGTGTATGGCCTGGTCACTGTGCTTTATTTCCCTCTGGAAGACAGCTGGGAACATCTGTTAAGAGAGAAGGCGGGCCTGCACTTAATGTCAGCCAATCAGAGTGCACTGTCCCCTGAGATCTTTTCAAATCATCCAATCAATCAACTGCCGATGGATAAAAAAACAAAAACAAGTTAGAACCGGGGTTAAGTCGGTAAAACCAGTTCCACTTTTCCCTAGATTTCATCTCACACACTCTGTCTTACACACACACACACACACACACGTACAGACCATGGGCTTCCACACATGCCTGGAATAAACAGGATTGAATGGATTTCTTGCTCAGAGGGGATTTAAGCAGAGTGGTGGGGTGGGGGGAGGAATAGAGAACAAATGGGCACCAATCAACAGCTGAGACTCTCATGGCATCTGTTCTCAATTATAGCTGTCAAGCATTTGGCGAAGGGTTCGCGGCCATCTTAGATTAGTGATCTCAATCCACTGTGGATGCTGTATTTGGATAATTCAACACACAGCTATGGCATTAAATTTAAACAGGTCACCGAGGGCCCAATTTTCTAAGGGGATTGTAGTTTTTAAAGCATAATGGTTCCAATGTTCAGGCAGTCAGTCTCATACACAGGCCTACATGCCTTATTATCTGCCTCTACACTTAGCAAAGCCATTTCAACGCAACACTACTAGAAAGGAGAAATGGATATATCAAGCTTTTATAGAATACAGTTAGGCTCATTTGAAGCTCCTGTGAGGAGTTTTATCTGTCAGAGCTGTGCTGGAAGAAGTCATTTTGAGAGATGGGTATAGAGTAGTTTTAAAAATCAGGACACAAATAGCAGCTTAATTAAACTAACATTAGATAAGGTCAGTAATCTCTAAAAACTTAAAGCTAAGCAAGTGTTTTTAGTTCTTTTCTGATCACAATACCATTTTTTGTCTTGATATCAGCTACATCCACCTGTCAAGTCAAGGTATAATATTTGTTTCAAGAGATTATAAGCAATAAATAAATGATAAATAATAATTAGAAATAAATAAATAATCTTAAGTGGCATGTAAAAGTAACAAATCTGCCATTGGGGTAAATTTAACTTGCTCAAGTGGAAGATTTTTTTTTACTAGTTGCAAACAACTCAAATTTTTTTCTATGCTTGTAGCACTTGAAACAGTGCATTTATGAAGACTTACCAGGTAAATGTAGCTTATATGATGTCTAATTTTATATATTTTGCTCTTTGGTTGGTTTGCTTTGACAAATAATCATCCTTATTGACTTAGCCCCTCCTATCATCCTACACTGAGACTGTCAGGTCACTGAGAGTTCAGTGTGATCTGCTCTGTACACACTGACTGAAAACTAATTAAAAGAAATGTCATGAGTCATGTTGAAGAAGCTGTTGTCTGACGAAGCTAACTCTGGTGTAATCGTGAATAATTTGATTACTTTGTATCATCCATCAAACTCTGGCTTTTAGGTTCACCTAACTAGCACTAATAAAGCAGAAGAATTAAAGCTGAGAGGAAACAGGTATTCGTTTTTGTTCCATGAAGAAGCTGAATCTCTATCAAAACCCAAGTATTGACCTCCAAAATACAATTTAAAACCCTTGATACAGATTTGTGCTGTAAAACGATTAATTTTTCAAAGTTTCAGTTGATCGCTAAATCTGAGTAGTAAATCACAACTGATCAAAATATAAATCAGGGCAACTTCCACTGTGATTGGGTGGATGTATTTGGCATAGTTTGGTGTTTTCTAAGCAGTATGACACTGCACCAATACAGACCCAGGAGGATCCCAGTCTTAATGTGCTAAATGTGCTTTTTTTCAGTGTTGTCTCAAGCACACTTTCCTTGAGTCTCTGATTATTGGCTCTTTTTTTCTGCATCTACATAAAAGTGACTAAATTTAGACAAAATCTGCCCGGAAGATCACAAAATACTGAATATTTTTTCTTGTTATTTTTCAGATGGAGACCCCAGGCCTCCAGTCTTCCATCATGTGCCTGTGTGGGGCAGTCCTGACGGGTCAGAATCCTACCTGACGTTGGCTTTAGAGGTGGCTCTGATGGGTATGGGCCAGCAGAGGATCATGCCTGAGGGCCTTTACGCGCAAGATAAGGTATGATAGTCCTGAATCATTTACTGACACATTGTTTATTTTCAGCCATAGTATGTGAAATACAGTATAATGCCAGTTTCTTTGAGAATAAACTTCTTTTAGAGTTTTCCTCTGGGGAAACACTCTTCATGTCTCTCCTGTTGCATTTTAAAACAAGCAGTGTGAATTTGCCTGCTGTCGCCTTGAAAGAAAATCACTGTCATTAAAGGCCAGTGTGAAGTAATTGCTGTGCAGGGAGAGAGAAAAGGTCACAGCATTTTGTTCCTCTGAAAAACAAGCAGAAAGCCATTGTGCCTAGGTTCACTTTGAATTAAAATAAGTCCCAGAAATGTGTCTTTGCTTGAATGATAAGCTGCTTTAGAGTGCTTAGCATGGCGGCCATGGACCTTTCTCTAAAGCCATGGGAAAGTATTCATGCTTTAGACAAGGCATGGTACTTACAGCAAGGTGAATAAATGTGCTTTGTATGAGACTGAAAGGCTTGACAAAACAAACACAAAGCACATATAAGTACCAACGTAGGAGGAGAAAGTATTTTTGAAGTATTTAGGTCTCAAATTGATCACAGTTTGAAAGAAGTGAAATGAAAAGCCAGCTCTGTCACGTGTCCTCCAACAGTCGATTCATACAGATGAAAGTGTGTAAGGTATTAAAACCCCCCACTGCTCCTTTAATACCTCAAGCTCAAAATCCCTTCTTAAAAGGTGTTCAAACTTCAAAGATATGTGCTCCTATGAAACTGTTATGAATCTCAAGATTTTTGTGGATGTTCCTCTGCTAATCTAACCTTTCCTCACGACTACTTTAAATACCAAATTCTAATTTTAGTCCACATGCATATGAAACCAGTTCTGGAGTGAACACTGGAATGATGGTGCTGCTCTTTTGAAGGAGTCTACTTTCATAGTTTGTAGATTCTTTCAGCAGACTTTCTCTTAGTTTTCATTAATACCAAACTTTGCATGAATTGTACGATGGCAGTGACTACAAAGAGTGTTGTCCATGTGTTCCAGGTGTGTCGTAATGAGGAACAGATTGTCGCTAAACTTCAAGAACTGGAGCTGGATGATCTCCTGGTCCAGACTCTTAGGAAACAGGCCATACAGCTGCTAGAAGGTACAACAACATCCCCTTCTTAAGATGTTTTTTTTAAGCATATTTATTAGAAGTAAGTACACTCATCAATAATTTTGTTTCCTCTTTTCCAGCTGGTCCGTTCAGCGGTCTGGGTGAGGTCATCCACAGGGAGAGCGTTCCCATGCACACCTTTGCCAAGTACCTCTTCTCCGCTCTGCTGCCTCATGATGCAGACCTGGCATATAAGGTGGCTCTGCGCGCCATGAGGTCAGTATTTTTGTACGCTGGAGCAATGAAAACATCCAGATACTACTGTTTTCATGATGTGAGACAGCCTCCCTGAGAAACAGAAAAAATTGATAAGACACTGACACTGAAAATGAAAGGTGGTCTCTGTTTAAAGACAAAGTCAGATCAAGACCTGTCTGCTAAAGACAAACTGTACTCTTGTAATAAAACAACTATAACAGTATATAATAATCAGAATATAGACACTATCACTGTCCATTCAACAGTGTTCAAAGATGAACACAAAATGTGCAATGCAATCTCAAAACAGTGACTTTAAAGCAGCTGGAAGGAGTTTTCATTTTTCTGTTGGTTTTGGCTGCCACTATGGACAAAAGCGGTGGTGTTTTACTATTGTCGCAAAGACACTTATCTGGCTGGCATGTCAAGGCTCCAGAAACAAACTTATTTTGTGAGCAGTTTGAGGCAACTTATACTACAGGCCAAAAGTTTGGAAGGCTATTACAGGCCGAACAGTTGGGAGTAACTTCAAGTTTTTGTTCACAATGCTACACTCTGAAGAGACTAGAGGAACCTGGAAGTTATGATGATAGAAAAAGACCTGGACGAAAGAGAGTTACTATAAAAGCAGAGGATAAACATAGCATTGTCACCAGTAAGAGAGATCAATGAAAGACAGCACCACAAATAAGGGAGGAAATCAACATGACAAGGTCGAAACCCATATCTCTGACAACCGTGAAATGACGTTTGAGAAAGGCTGGTCTGAAGGGTTGTGTATCTGCAAAAAAACACTACTTCGTCCACAGAACAAGAAAAAGAGATATGAGTGGGCAAAAGCTCACAAAAATTGGACTTATGATGACGAGAAACAAGTTTGCACTGTTTGGTTCAAAAGGCAGAGTCTATGTCTGCAGACAAACTGGTGAACGTCTGAAATGTGTTACACGCACAATTAAGCATGGAGGTGGTAGTTCCATGGTATGGGGATGTTTTGCAGGTGATAGAGTAGAAGATTTGTTTAAAGTAAAGGGTATCATGAAGAAGGAACAGTACCACTCCATCCTCCAGCACCATGCTGTTCCATCTGGACTCAGATTTGTGGCTCATAAGTTTGTTTTGCAGCAAGACAATGACCCTAAGCACTCTGCCAACCTCTGTCAGGGTTACCTAGACAAAAAAGAAGAGGAAGGTGTTCTTCAAAAGATGGTTTGGCCCCCTCAGTCTCCAGATCTTTCTCCAATTGAGCTTGTGCGGGATTAATTGGATCGATCGGTCAGAAAAGCGCGTCCCACGAATCAGTGGTCTCTTTTTAATGAACTTAAGAAAGCTTGGAATGCAATCCCTGCAACATACCTTAAAAAACTTGGAACGAATGCCTGGTATATGCCAAGCTGTTTTTAAAGCCAGAGGAGGTTACTTTAAAGAAAGCAAAGTCTAAGCAACAATAACTCAAATACCTAATAATTATAGTCAAAATGTCTTCTGATAAGTTACTCTTTACACAATAGTCATGTTTATTGTGTTGCAAATTATATATCTGAAACTATGATCTTTTTTTGTACAAATCTGATCTTGCTTCCAAACTTTTGGCCTGTAGTGTACATTGTAAATGTATTTAAAATGGGAAGCAAGTCTGGGTCAGCCCACCATGGAGTGTTTTTGCTGATGATTTTATTCTAAATTTTTTTTTTCTTGTCAGACTGCCGGTGCTGGAGTCATCAGCAGGCTCTGGAGATGTGGGTCACCCTCATCATGGTATCTCCATAGTTCCCAGCAGATACCCACGCTGGTTCACACTGGGACACCTGGAATCCCAGCAGTGTGAGCTGGCCTCCACCATGCTCACTGCTGCTAAAGGTACGGTCAACACACCTGCTTACTCACAGCTCAGACCACAATAAGTGACAGTTTATCCTTACTTGTCCGGTCAGTGCTTTTGTTTGTTAATAAAGCTTCTCTCTGCCTCCAGGTGACATGCTGAGGTTGCGGACGGTGCTGGAGGCAATCCAGAAAAACATCCACTCCTCGTCTTTAATCTTCAAACTTGCCCAGGACGCCTTCAAGATCGCCACGCCGGCCGACAGCCCACCTGACATCACTCTGCTGAACGTGGCTCTGGAGCTGGGTCTGCAGGTAGGGAATGTGTTAAAGCTGGAGCCAAAGAGTCAGGCGTCTTTTATCAAGTCATTTCACCACCAATAAAATCAACACAGCAGTCACCAGTCTTAACATGCTACAGTTTTCACGGGCTTGTAATTTCTGGCCTCCACAGCCTCACTACAAATTAACAGAAAAAACATCACACAGCGTTTTACCGTCCGCCATGAGAAGAAACCACATAATTGAGCCTTTTGGGCTCTACAGTAAACACTGGAGCTCCTCACATCATGAAGACAGCAGAGTGGCTGCGGTCCAATCCGCCTTTTTCTCCCTTTATTTAGAGTTTCAGATGAATTCCTTTCAACAAAAAGTGCAAAAATAGTAGAGGAGTCAGAATAAGTCATCTGTTTTTACAAACACATGCTCATCACTGGAGGAGACATATGGATTTATACTTTGTACACTTTGTACATGAAATTGATGCTAAAAACACAGTTTTATTCGATTTTCGTATCAAATAAGATCATTTTGAGCTGGTATAGCCTCAGACAAAACCCTCATACATGTGCTGTGTTGCATCTCCTGATATAAAAAGTGGAGTTGCCAGAAAGGTCTCATGCTGTGTGTGTGTGTGTGCTGCAGGTGATGAGGATGACTCTGTCCACTCTGAACTGGAGGAGAAGGGAGATGGTTCGCTGGTTGGTGACTTGTGCGACTGAAGTCGGTAAGTAGTGCCTACTCTCAGACATAAAACAACAACACTGTTTCTGACTCAACTGAATTTTAAAAAACATCTTTAGTCAGTTGATAGCTACCTCCAACTTACTGACTTGAATAAATGTTAATTTTGTGTAAAAAGCACATAGCAACACATTTTTCTTGTAACTATACTCCTCAGAACCCAAGAAAAGTCAACATGTTTAGCTTAAGTCCATCCAGATTCAGATTCGGCCTCTCACTGAACTCCCGAGTGTTGATGGTGGTGATCACTGTGCTCAGCATTTTCTTTGAACACTGACATCACAATTATACCTCTTTTTCCCCTATCAGTCTCTTTTTTCAAACATCAGAATAAACTGATCAAGTTCCTGTTCTCTCTGAGATCATTGATTGTCATTTAAAAACAGGAAGTGTAAAATCCTCTCCGTCCCCCTCAGGTCTGCGGGCGTTGGTGAGCATCTTGCAGAGCTGGTACACTCTCTTCACACCCACCGAGGCCACCAGCATCGTGGCAGCCACCGTCATGTCCCACAACACCATCCTGCGCCTCAGTCTGGACTACCCCCAGCGAGAGGAGTTGGCCAGTTGTGCCCGGACCCTGGCCCTGCAGTGTGCCATGAAGGACCCCCAGAACTGCGCCCTGTCTGCTCTGACACTCTGCGAGAAGGATCACATCGCGTTCGAGACAGCCTACCAGATTGTTATTGATGCAGCGTCCACAGGGATGACCTACTCCCAGCTGTTCACCATCGCCAGGTACATGGAGCACCGTGGATACCCGCTACGCTCCTTCAAGCTGGCCTCCCTCGCCATGACACACCTTAACCTGGCTTACAACCAGGACACTCACCCCGCCATTAACGATGTGCTCTGGGCCTGCGCGCTCAGCCACTCGCTGGGGAAAAATGAGCTTGCAGCCATCATCCCTCTAGTGGTGAAGAGCGTGCACTGCGCCACGGTGTTGTCTGACATCCTACGTCGTTGCACCATGACAGCGCCGGGTCTCGCGGGCATTCCTGGGAGAAGGAACTCTGGGAAGCTAATGTCAACGGACAAGGCGCCACTACGGCAGCTCCTTGACGCCACAATTTCAGCATATATCAACACCACGCACTCCCGGCTGACGCACATCAGCCCGCGGCACTATGGAGAGTTCATAGAGTTCCTGAGCAAAGCGCGGGAGACTTTTCTGCTGGCGCAGGACGGACACATTCAGTTCGCCCAGTTCATAGACAACCTGAAACAGATCTACAAGGGCAAAAAGAAACTGATGATGTTGGTGAGGGAGCGCTTTGGCTGACCTTACCCTGCCCTCACAGGGACCCTCCTCTATGGGAAGTAGTTAAACTTATTTGTTTCTATTTAAGGTTTTTGAATTCTTTGTATTTTTACTTCTTTTGTTGAGCCATTCGTTGACTAAGTCTTAAATATTTTTTGTCCTGTTTTGTTGTTTTGTTTCTTGAATGTGAACCAGGAAGTGTTCGCAGTGCATTGCTCTACTTTATTGAGACTGCAGGAGAGGGGAAGCGGCTTTAAATGTCAAAGAAAAAGGAGGAACAAAGCCTTTTTTTACCCTCTTGTTACTCGTGTTCAAACTTGTATGAAAAAGTTGAAAGATTGTGATGAAAAAAAAACAAAAAAAGAAACTTTTGTTTTGCAGTGGCACATGTCGATTTAAAAACCAAAAGCTTTTGTTGGATGGGGTACTTACTTTGAGCCAGAAGACACTTTCAGCTGGTGTTAGGAGGAGAAAGAAGAAAAGAAGGAAGGAACATGTCATTCCAAAAAGCGAGGAAAAACTCACTGAGGTCGAAAAAACACTCATAGTGTTACTGTCATACCTCGACTGTATTATTTGTCAGCTTTAACTTATCAATCAGGAATGGCCTCTTGTTTCCTTTAGGGCATCTTAGAGTAGAGAGGGATGAAAACAGAAACACACTCGTGCGGTTTCTCTGAAACAACAGGTTTAAAAACCTGACTAAAGCCACTGTAGACTAGCTCATACCCTCCTCGCCCGCTGGTCAGAGCTTTTCTTGATCAATGTCTCCAGAAGAGGAACCATGTTCCTTCACAGAGTGCATGTTTTCAACTCCAGACGCCTGAGAGCGACCATAGTCAGACTGTTCTAGCTAAAGTAGACTAGTTGAGGCTCCACGTGCACATATATATTCACACAGTGTATCTCTTTTGTCCTCCTTGAAGCTGATTAATAATGACATAACATGACTGTGATGAAAGGTGGACTCACAGTATTCTCATCTCCAGACACCACTGTATCGCTATTAGTGGCCAAAACCTTTGAAATCTCTGGTCCTTTTTCACCTGCTAGATCGAGAAATAGTCTAAAGCAATATAAGTCATGTCTGTGCTTCACTTCTATCACCTAGCGGCATTAACGTCACCTTCTTGCATTCAGTTAGGAAGCTTTGGATCATAACGGCAGATTGTAAATGCCTGTAGCTAATGTCCCTTTTCTTTTTCAGGAACATGAGCAGGAGCTGAGGAACATTTTCAGCCGTCATAGTTTTCTTAAACTTTTAATACGTACGGTGTACTGCATTTGACATGAGTATGCAGTCGGCGTTTTCGAATACAGCCATCATGTGTTCGGCTCGTTTTCTAGCATTCCTCACTGCTCTTTAGTGACCAAAAATCAACAGTTCTTGTTAGTTTCGTTATGTTTGGATTTATTGAGACAAAAACACAACAAAAGGTAAACATTTTTAATGTAAAGACAGGACTTCTGCTTCAGTGGCATTTCCTGGTTCTTGTGATGGAAAAGGGCTGTTAGCTACGAAAGCGGCTTCGCTGCGAATGCTACTTGTTGTGATCTTTCTGCGTGGACAAGTGGCCTTGTCTTTGCAGATACACAGTGCAACACAAACACAACAAAGTACTGTATGTTTTATGACTTAATCGTACATTTTAGAGACCACATGCCTTGGCACATAAAGTTCTTTCTTCTAAGCGTGGGGCGTTCGTGTTCCCTTTTCTTACCCAGTAAAGAAGTGTTGTTGTTGTTGTTCTTAACGGCAGTACACAGAACAGCTTGAATCTTTACTGGTTGGACGTAACGTCATCATACAAGCACTTCACACAAATACCTCTTCAGTACGTTCCTGCCTGCTTCAGCATTTATTTATTGATTGTTTGGTGACTTTGTATGACTGATATGGATCGCAGACACACAAACACAACACCGCCGACGAGTCAGCCCGTCGACCGCCACAGAAGTAAAGAGAAAAGGGTTTTTTATTTGAATGGAGGAACATTTTCTTGTCTGCTTTTACATTCCACCACAAGAGCTACCTTCACCCTCTACCCGGGTAGTCAGTCACAACTCTGGGCCTTTTGTTGATCTGAAGAAATGCAGATAGAAGAATGGATAAAAAAAAAAAAAAGGAAAACTGAGCATAAGAAAGAAAAGAGAGGCTAAACTCAGTTCTCAGGGACATCACTTAAAGAAACAAAACAAAAAGTAGTAGCATTAAGCATTTAAGATATTGTAAATATTAAAGTGTCAATTCAGAAAATTGTAAAGTTATAATTATTTATGATAAGTATGTTGTATGATTTCTTTATTTTTATGTTCTTTTGTTTGTTTATGGCGGGGGTGTACTTGAACTGTTGTGGGCGGGGAATTAGACAGCGTTTTTTGTAAGACTTCAAGGCATTTCTCAGGTGCTCCTGTGTACATTTCTTTCTGTTTGTTTTTGCTATGATATCTATTTTTATTTAGTTTTTTTATATATATTTTGATTTGCAAAGAAAAGAAATCTGTGTTCCTAAAGGAAGCATGTCATTTGGCTTTGAGGAGGATGAGGAAAGCATTCATTTGTAAACAGTTTAAACCTGACTATGCAGAACCACTTCGATGGTCTTGTCACCTCTTAAAAAAGCCCCCAAAAAGCTTTCAGAGGGAGAAATAAAGTGGACTGAACCATTTTTAAAGGTGGTGGTGGGGGCGGGGGCAAAAGACAAGACCCAGCATGCTTGTGTGTTCATGTTGCCTATCGGCCAGCCTGCATACGCTGCAGCATTTAGAGGAGGAAGAAAGAAAATGTTGGGAAATGCCTTTGTGACCGATCAATGTACAAAGTTTATTTTTCGCTTTACTCCATTTTTGGTTTGATTTAATCAGGACTCAAGCCTTTAGTGTCTTCTCAGATGTGTCGAACATCGACGCCGCGGTGAGACAGAACAAAACACAAATGTCATTCAGAAACAGCCACTGAGTGAACAAAGACACGGCCTGTGGATGACCTTGTGTTGTTTTTTGTTAATGCTTCTCTCCTCAGCCTGGAAACTGGCTGACTTCACCTCCTCTGTCTCATTATGATTGTTTATTTCTTATCTTCAGCTCTTCATCACTTCCTCCTCTCTCACATAGGGAGGATTTTGGTTTGAAGCATTGAAATGCCAGTGAACAGCTCTCTACTGTTGTCAATTTTAAAAACCACTCCATTCTTTTGAGGCGCTTTAGTCAACCTGTGGACATAAAAAAAGTGGATTTTCCTCTAAAATTGAGATTAAAAAAATCTAATTTTATTTGGTTGCTACTGCACTAGCATGATGAGGCTTTTTTTGTCTGTACACGACAGAGGGACATGATTACCTAGATTTTTAAACTTGAAAGCTGCCTTTACGTGATGCATTCACTGACAGCATTACAACAAAGAAGTTCAAACTGTTGTTCAGCCAGTTCCTGAGGTTATTTCCTTTTTCTTTCTTTATGTTTTTGTTCTTTCTTTCTTTCTTTTGTAGGAGCGTACTATTTGCTGGTAGAGATCTAGTTCACCTACTGTTTCCCAGTTTGCTTTGTTTTGGATTCTCTCTAATGTAAGGGAAATTTGAAAGTGTTTGTTGCCTCTTTGTGCTACTGATTATGAAAAGGTATTTCCAGTATTTGTTGCCACAGAAGTATGATAGCTTATCATCAACACTTGTTTTTGTTTGTTTTTTTTTTTATTTGTAATTTTTGTGCTACTTCTTGAGCTACTGTCTATAAAGCGAAAATTTATTACTATTTATGTAACGCTACTACCATTTTATATTGATTTGTGTTGGAATCTCAGTGCTTTTCTATGAATAAAGTGTGAAACACGTTAAAAAAGCTGCTTTTTTTCTCCATGTGGTGAAACATCACCCAACATTTGAATGCCCCTCTGAGGAGTTTTTAAACTCTTTTTTTTTATGCAGACCCAAATAGATTCTGTCAGCCCTCTCTAAGCTCCAAAACTAAACAAGATGATAATCAGCAATATTCAATTCTGTTAACACTCTGGTTTTACTTTTTAAATCACAAGGATGAAAATTTGTAGAAAATAAGTTAACCAGAAGTTCCTCACAAGAGTTCAACAATCTTTACTGATAGTTTGTGATCTTAAAGGGATATCCCTGTGTAAAATTAAATTATGATCAAACACACTGTAACTTCAAGGTAGACACCCCCTCGAGAGATGAATGTAGCCAACTGCTTGCTTCTCTAGTTATACCAACTTCAACAACGACTGCACGAAAGCAATACACAGCGGTCTACGTCTCCACGCGTAAACCTAAACCATAAAGCCACTCTATAGCCACAAATAATGTTATAAGAACAGCACCTAACTTCATCAACAGTACATATAGGGTCCCAGCCATAGTACTAGACACCAAACATCTTTTTCGCTCTGCCTGGTTTCTTTAGCAAAGAGACTAAACACAACTCACCCACTCTCTTCCAGCAGCCCCTTATTTGTGAGGGGAGCCAGACGAGTCGATCACCCAGTGCATTTCTTTTTTAAAAGGAACCCCCAACTGTGAGGACTAATGGGCATAAATATGGTTTAATATTTGTCTCATACAAGAGTGTGTTGTTGAAAAAGTATGAAGAATCATTATTTCTTTATAAATCACAATTTATAATACATATCTCTAACCTACAGGCGCAGCCATTTTTTATTTTTTTACTAGCAAAATGCATTCTGGGTTGACGACATCCATTGGTTGTGTTGTGCCGAGCCGCTCGTGTTAGCCTTTGCTATGTTTACTCAGTGGCTCAAGGAGCGAGAATACTACAAAAATGCCACATTGCTGCTTTTTGGTTTAATTTTCAGTCAAAGGGAAAGAAGGGGAGTGATGTAAGTTTACACAGCTTCTCAAGTAACAAGAAGAGGAGAAAGGGTGGGAAATTGCTTGTGGGCATACAGTGGCGGGCTAATGCACACCAACTTATAATTTAATACTAATTTAAAAACATGAAAAAAGGGTAATAACTTGTGTGATAACAGGCTGATGTTTTGACTTGCCTGTTGGTGAGCTGATCCGTGTTTAGTAACATAGCACTCTCGGTCATGGAGGCTGACAAAGGCAGCCCACAAAACATCCGCATTTAGGCAAACTGCACCAAAGTTCTTGTGTGTTGTGATGCAAGGGATATCTGTAATTATGGACAAACACATCAGCACAAACACTCTCCCTCTCAGTTGGCATGGCAACGCAGTAACACACCTGCAACTTTGGCCAACTCTTGCCTCTTCGTGTCTTCATTCATCTCCATTCGTCTTTATTTGTCTTCATTCATCTTATTTTGAAGCTATTTTGACATGTGTCTTCATTGTTATCCTCCTTGGTTATGTCTCTCTCAGGTTCAAATCGGTAAGGTTATACAAATGACATGGTTTTGCACCATTGGGTAAAATGAATGGGACTGAGTCAGGTGCAACCATGTGGCAACACTAACCAGACAGCATTGCGACACAAACAACAATGGCTGCCTATGAGTGGAAAGATTTTTTCCAATTTTATAAAAACTAAAATTTGTTGAGAAATTTTAATATTGTTTTTAAAAACCTGGTACAAACATTGATCAAATAGAACAATAATGTCTTGGTAGCTGGGGTTCCTTTTAAAGCTCTAAACTCTTAAAACAAAAATAAACCCTTTATTACAACACCAATGTAAGGATAAAATATGACAGAAAGACTGTCAAACCAGCTGGTCAGACACAGTCTTGCGTTTTACAGCTGTATAACTGGTGCTATCATTGATAAATGGAGCACAGGGAGGCTGAGATGGTCACATCAATCTTCCACTCATTTGTCTCTTCTCTGAGAATTTTTCTTCCATCTCTCCCTTAGCCCTTCATTTTCATTCATTACAGACCCCTGCAGAGCCCTATGGGTACACAATTAGGCCATAAAGAAGTGTTAAATGCGCTTGTGACAGTGTGTATGTGCGTGCACCTTGTGTGCATGCAAGCCCTGATTGATTGGCCAATAGTAAATGAGCAGATTTATATTAATTATCTGGACAGATAGATGGAGAAGTGATTGCTATATGCTCAGTCTCTTTCTCCTCAGTTAGCTCTGCCACCCCTAATCTCTTCATTTTTCAATCAGTCCACACAGACTGAGTCTCCATATTATTTACGTATGGTACTTTGGAAAACGCTCCAAATTTATTGCCATGCTTATTTTTTCATGTCAGACCTGAGGTGGGAACTGCCACCCTCCAGAAACTCTGAAGAGTTCACCATGGCACCCAGATGTCATACTGACCATGTTCAGTTGGTTCTGAGATTACGTAATAACAACCACCTTCATTCAACTACTCTTCAGATGAAGAGCCTCAGCTATAGTTTTGTGTGTCATTTCTATACCAAGCAGAAACCTTTTAACATGAGCCAAACCAGACCATTGTAGGGGTGGCCAGGTGTGGTAACAGGGGCTGAACCATAGACTGTATATAGAATGGACAGAGTCTGCCTCCTTGCTGGGTGAAGCCACTCCGAGAACAGCACCCTCTGTTGACGGGCTGCAGTATAGGTCATAAATCCCGCCTCCGCCAGCAAAGCTTATGGGGCTGTGGACAAACTTTAGAAATTTATTACACAGAACATACATTTTTCTCCCCCCTGCTTGTGATGTTGACATGTCAGTCTGCCCCGGGGCAGCTGTGACTACTAAGGTAGTTTACCACCACCAAAGTGTGACTGTGTGAGCGAATGAATGATGTATCCAATGTAAAGCGCTTTGAGGGTCTCTGATAAAGCGCTATATGAAATCTGATGCATTATTATTATTATTATTATTATTATTATGTAGTTATTGTAAGACTGGTTTGTGCTCAAGTGCTCTTTTTTCTGTGAAGCTCGGTTTTTAAAAGTTATTAGGGGGGTCATGTTTTCTATGATTGACACCTGATACAGCCTATGGGCGTTCAGGGATTGCGTAACTCACCCGGGAGGATACGGGTGACACAGTGACTCTCGGCGACTGCGCGGCCGAATGCGTGCATCGCTACTGCGCAGCGCTGGTTTCAGGAAATGAAGAAAAATCCCGGAAATACCGAGAGCTTTTTGGCTTCAAATCCGTATACAGGCGGTAGGCGGAACCAAGCTGTCCATAGTATATACAGTCTATGGGCTGAACCCAAACCTGGGATCATTATCTCCACTAATCACATCTACTTTAATTTGTAACGTAGAAGAATCTAAAAAAAATGTTTGGCTAGATTCTTGCAGTAGTGTTGGAGATGTTGGTCTAAAGTCACCATTTACTGAAACAACACTGACATGCAAAGATGCCATAAGGTGTGTGTCTAACACAACCCAACGGATTATCAAAAAGCCACTGATAGTTTGGGATTTCAGGGTAGCCAATCAATTTCATGCTTCTCTGGTTCTATACCTAATAGACTAGAAATTTGAGCCAACACAGAACACAGAACTCCTTGCCTGTATGTAGCTTATACATAAATTCCACTCCATTACATAAAGTCTTTGGAGTCATAGCCTGAGTATTTTTGTGAACCAGAGACAGATAGGGAATCACACAAATTCACACAATGTTTTAATAAATGGACTTGCTCCCTTCTGAAGAGTCTTTTATCATGAAGTTTAGCTGACTTGCCAACCATTTGCTTGGGTCCCCCTCTTCCAATTTTGTTTATGTGCTGAGTCACAAGTGACATAACATCATGCCAATACATCAGGTCAAGGCAGATACATAGATCTTTGTGATGACTCAAAATTATTTCTGAAGATGTGTGTCGTCGGGAATCAAAGAGAGGGACTAAGATTAATGTTCCTTATAGAATCCACAAATCTCAGAAAATTGCTACTGATTCTCCATACCCAGGTCGGGTCATCAACTTGTCAAAGTATCTCTCAGATGTGAAAAACTAAGATGGTGACAATCAAAACATTTCATCTGATCTTCGTTAAAGTGGTTTTAAATGACAAAAATATCCTGCTTTTGTCTTTTAAGGGATATTCTGGCATAAATTGAAGTTATGGTCAAACAATCACTGAGTGCAGTGGATCATTTCCATGAAGTAATAATCATCATATTAATCATTTTGCACTGCAGACGCAGTAGTAGTTTGGTCTGATTGCATTTCCATGAAGTAATAATCATAAATGTTCTTCCTTGAGCTGCGAAATCCTGCTGCACTAGGTGATCAACTCGTCAGGGCTCCCCCACAAACAAGCGACTGCTATAGGAGAGTGGGTGAGTTGTGTTTAGTCTCTTTGCTAAAGAAATTCGGAAAAGCTAAAAAGATGTTTGGTGGTTAGTACTATGGCTGGGACCCGATATGCACTGTTGATGAAGTTAGGTGCTGTTCTGAGCATTATTTGTGGCTATAGACGGGTTTCTTGTGTACAAACAATACTAGGTGAGCGCGCCACCATGGGGCAAAAGCCTGCTCCGGAGTAAAGTGATACCAATGAAGATGCAGTATTATTAGCAAATCACTTTTTTTTTTCCTTGCATCAAAATCAGAAAAATACTTGCTGAAATATCCATGAATTTCACTCAATTTACCAGGTTGTGATGTTGTTTTAGATGTTTCTAATATCAGAAGCAGGGTTGTAATGTTTGCAGATTGTTTGTTCTGCTGATTCGTGCAGTTTACAGCACAACAACTCCTTGTCATTTTCTTTCTCTGTTGACTACGCTAGTAAACAAATAAGAAATGTCCCGCTTTCTGCCCCAAGGCTGCGATGACGTTGCACAGAAACCCGTTGATAGAGTGACTTTTTGCTTGAGGTTGGCATTTGGACGTAGACCACTGTCTATTGCTATCGTGTGGTTGTTGCTAAAGTTGGTATAACTAGAGAAGCAAGCA